AGGGGGAGAAAAAGATGAGAGCGCGGGATTTAGTAAGGAAAAAAAAAAAAAAAAAGAAAAGAAAAGAAATTTATCATACATCTCCGGATTAGTCGGATTATTCTAAGCAACAGGGAAAAAAGAAAGAAGATAAGACACGTGCTTCAACAATACCGCTCACGAAAGAAGGTTTTTCAACGATGGACTAGCACTGGCCCCGGATCCCCCACTGGGCGCAGTGGTGCCAGGATGCCGACCAATACTCATCGGGCCTGCCGGGCCGCCATCCTCTAGTTTGGTAGGGGGCGTCATCCCTCGGGGGTCGATGCGCGCTTGCGAGACCGGTGGAGACCGCGTCGGCGCGTTGAGAACCCGGTCCACGGAATAAACACGCGGCGGTCCACCGTTCAAAGCACTGAGCGAGTGCTGAGGGGAGTGCCGCACCATTGTTGCCTGCACATCCGGTGGAGACGCTGACGGCGGATACGGTCGAGGCCCCGCCGAATGGGAGATGCGGGGCGACGGCATAGCCACCGGCCCGTAGGGGCTTTGATGCGTGGCATAAGCTTGGTGTGGAGGTGGTGGATGTGCCGCGGTGGAGAAATGTGGCAGAGAAGCATGGCGGGGAGGGCTCGGCTGATATCCATTGAGATGGTGCGCTGGCGCTGGTGGGACACCACCACGGTAACCAGGAGCCGGCATGCCATTGCGCAATTTGTTGTCTCCGAAGTCACTCGGCCGTTGCTCGTATCCGGGGTACCACTCCGGTCTACCGTGAGATGGGCCAATCGGTTGCGGGAGAGTTTGCGGGGGGTGGGCATGGGAACCGAACGGATGGCTGGGATATTCAGGAAGTCGAGGAGCGGGCAAGACCGGTCGCGGGGCCGAGTAGGGAGACGGTCGAGGTTCCGGAGATGGCTGGGGCGGCGCCGTGACCTTTTTGAGATGGCATTTGTGACATTCGTACATGGGCTGTCCCAGTGCATCGGCGGGGCTGTAATCCCCGTTCAGCTTGGCGAGGGGATGCTGCGAAGGGTTGCGATGGAGGTACGGTGGGCTTCCGCCGATCCCGTTCAGCAGAGGCGCTCTGTGATCAAGCATTCCGGCCCGCCGCGAGTTCTCGATGGGCCACCATCGGGGGCTGTAGGCGGTGGTACAGCGAGCACACTTCCTGGTCACGTCCGCGCCGGGGGTGGGAAGCGCGGTCTGACTCTCGGTATCGATCATCATCGGATCCGGAGCACCATCGGGGGATGTTCTCGCATTCTTGACATCATCTCTCGTGGTCGTAGCTAGCGTGGCGGTGCCATTGACGGTGGAAGTCCGCTTGTGTCCGGAAGACGACGCATTTTGGTGTGAATGCACCGCTCGCCGGGTGGCTCGACTTAGGGACGTGTCCGCTTGCTTGTAGGTTTCCGCAAACCGCTTGAGGGCGTTGGTGCCCTTCTCCTCGGTCGGTTCACCGATGGCATGGACGCGCGACGAGACCGAGTGGTGGGGACACCAGATACCCGCCGCGGCCACGCCTGTCTCCTCCCCGAGCCGCACGCTTTGGACGGTATCTTTTCTCGAATTTTTGACCGGGGTGATGTCAAACCCGAATGGGTATTGCGCTTGATACGCACAGCCCACATGGAATCGAGCGTTGCATCCGCTGAAATGGCACGGCACGCATGCACCTTTGTTGGACTTGCAGATCTTGCACGTCTCACGGAATCGGTCCATGGGGATTTGAGCAAACCCTTCAGCAGGCTCTAGTTCTTTCGAGTTGCCAAACTTGATCTCTGGCGTCCAAACCGCACACATAACATGGACCCAGTTATTCCCAGCGGTCCTTTTCAGCGGTTCTCGGGGACCGATCGGCTTTCCCACGGCCTCCTGCCGCTGACGGTAGAGTTTGATGGCCTCGTTGACCATCTCCTTCTCTAGACGCTCCTTCTCGCGGTCTCGTTCCGACTTCTTGCGGTGCGTGGACTTCGGGGCTTCCATCAGCTCGTGCTCAGTCCAGGCGACCGGACATAGAACGCATTCGTAGCAAGTCGAGATCATCGGGTTTCGATCGTTGGAGCACATGTCGCACAGCCACTTGGCACAGTTCCTCTCCGGGCTCACACCGTAGCAGCTCCGGTGGACGGTCAGGCGACAGTCCCGGCAAGACAGGTGCTGATCCCCCAAGGGCTCCATCTGGTTGCAGATGGCACAGGGCAGTGTCTTGGCCCGGGGGGGATCCGGAACAATCGGCGGTGGAGGCCCGGAGGGCTTCTCTGGCGGGGGCTTCTTCTTCGGCGCCGGTTCCACCGACGTGGCCGTCGAGGTTGCTGCACTGTCTTTCTCAGGAGCACTTCGCTTTTTCTTATTAGGTTCCTGCTGCTGTGGCTGTTGCTGCTGCTGTTGCTGTTGCACTTGAGGGTTCACGTTCACCGGAACTCCGATTGATGCGGCGGTTGCGGCCGTGGCACTGTTGATGCTGATCGGGGTCTCGGTGGAAACGAGAAGCTGCGTCAAAAGCTCCTCGTCGACGCGCCGACGCCATGATTTGTTACCGCTCTGCGCGATCTTCTTGGCCACCTCGTCCACGCTTTCCCACTGAATCCCATATTTCCGCCACAGCAACGCACAGCGCAAGCAAAGGGCGACATTGAGAGGTGGCCCTTTGTCCTTCTTTGATGAGGGTTCGCTCGGTGTCGTCGTACCGGGCGGTATCCCGGGGGCACGTCTCCACTGCCGCGACGACCGCGTGGAACAGAATTTGCACTGGAACCCACGCTTAATCGCGGCGGCTTTGTCGTTGTCGTATGCGGAGTCGTCGTTATCGTCGGCCACGTCATCCACAAGCTTCGCGGAGCTGTGCCGCCGGGCTTCCTTCTTGCCTCGCCGTCCTTCGTAGTTGCCCCATATTTGTCGCCCGCGGGGCGACTTCTTCCACATGTAATAGAATCGCACGATCTGATAATGGGGCACCGTTCCGACGTGTCTAGACACATACCGCAGTTCCGACCCGTACTTCGCAACGCCCTGTTCAAACGCTTTCACCTCCTCGGGACGCAAATAGGGTTCTTTGAGATCTTTGTGCTTGTGGACCTGCTTGAGCTTCGCGAGGGCGGCGTCGGCGTTGAAGCTGTTGGAGTAGAGAAGTTCCAGAGCTTTATCCAAGAAGTTGGTGGAGTAATCCTCCACCCCCAAGCTCGGTGCCAGTGCCTTGGCCCGTGTCATGTACTCGTCCATGAACTTTTCTCGGTCCTCCGGGCTGAGATCCGCACCCGGCGCATCGTCCTCCCCGCGGGACGGGATCTGGGATGCCGTGGGCATCTTGAACAATAGCTCAGCGGTGCGAGTGGGCTTGCCGTTGATGAGGACAGGCTCGTCCTCGCCTCGTCGAATGAAACCGGGGGGTTCATCCATGACCCAGTTCGGCCGATTTGCCTTTTCCTTCTTGGCCGCTTCAATCGCCGCAAGAGCCTCCTTGGACAGCCTGGAATCCTTGCGGTTTCCGGAGCTTCGCATATATTTCTTCTTGATATCGAGCGGCTTGACGTACTCCACCGGGCGACCGTGCCAAGGGACAACGACCGCCTGGTGCCGAGGCCCCAACCGGGAGCTGGCGCGCGGATAGATCCGGTCATCGTAATCCAGCGCATCCTCGACTCGGCAGTGGATGCCCAGGTAGCGATACGGCCACATCCGGGCCTGGGCAGTCTGCTCCTCGGTAGCGGGGTGAACAGCCTCTTCCTGGACCGGGACCGGAGTGCTGGCAGCCGTGCCGTTGACCGCCGCTTTTGGATCCTCCTCCTCTTCTTCAACGACCTCTTCTTCGGGCTCTGGCGGCTGACTTTCCCCGAGAATCGGAGTATTTCGGGCCTCCAGCTTGCGCTCCTGGGCCCGGCTGCATGCCGCGCAGGCCCAAGCAAACCCTCGGGCGGGCTTCTTCGTTAGCACGGGTCGCACGCAGTACATGTGGTACGTATCATGGCACACCGCGCAGTCCACGGAATCGGTGCTACGATGATGTTAGCAACAAACACAGCCTCGCGTGCTTTGGGTTCAGGCATTTAAAAAACATCCGTACCTGGCCGCATACAAGCTACAGCGCTTGCAAGTCTTCACCGCACTCGTCAACTCCTTGCGTCTCCCAATTTCCACCAGGACGAATTTCCATCGCTCATCGAGAACCTTCTTGACATTGCCGGGGACGTTGATTACTTTCTTCGTCGGAATGACATCGTAGTAGCGGTGGATGTATCGATCAAACATCTTGTCGAACCAGAAGCTATCCCGGGTCTTGCGGTACTCTTCGAGGTCTCCGATCTCGGAGAGGTGCGATATTTGACATTTCCCACGGAGTGACGACAGAGGGCATGTGTCGGAATGCATGGAGGCGAAGACCAACCGCGTGTCGGCCACCTTGCGTTGGATGTCACGTGGCCGATAGTACCAGTTGACACGCAACGCCTCGATCGGGCCCGAGGGGCGGTCCTTGGAGGGCAGAAACTCCATGATCCGCGCCAAGTAATATGGCTCGCCAGGCGGCTCACAGATGAGGTATACGTGGTCTAAATCACTTAGCAACTTCATCATACGAGAATGCAGTGGGGTAAAAAAGAAAACAGAACAGAAAAATCAGAATACAACGTACCATTCAGGGCAAACGTGGTGCCATCATCCGCCGTTATCATGCCGTTTTTTAAACGCGCACCGCCCTTCTCAAAGGAGAGCATATTCGAGTCGCTCTGTGCGGGGGGCGCGCTGGGGGCCGTGGTGAAAATCTTTTTCGCGACGCTCCCATTTGCAGAGGCTGAGGGGGTGGAGCTGGCGGGCTGTTTGCGTTTTCGCGAATTCGACGAGGTGCTGCCCTCTTCCCCTTTGGCGGAAAATGAAGAAGTCCCAGGGATGGAATCTTTAGCGGTGGGGGATGAAGTGGCCCCGTTCACCGCCGGTAGGCTTTTTCGGGAATTGGAGGACGGCGTTGCTTTTTCGCCCTCCGGTTTGGAGCCGTTGACGGGGGCGTTCGCCGCCGTCCCGGAAGCAGTGCGCTTCGCGGATTTGGAGGAGGGTTGAGCCACCTCCAGGTCCATGTCGATGTCGCGATCTTCCGCGTAGTTGGGGCGGGGGGCCGCGTTCCGACCTCTCGACCGGGTGCCATAGGGCGCCGGCGTGGTGGAGGAACTCGGCGGCTCGGTAGCCGCTGCCTCTGAAGGCGTGGCGCTGACCGTCATAGGTTGGGACGTTGGTTCATTTACGGTGGTGGAGGGGGCCTCCTGAGTCGTGGATGAATCGGCCGAACCCATCCGCGACGACTGGCCAGGGGTGGGCATGCGACGTTGACCCGCGGCGGCTGTGCTGGAGGGAGACAAGCTGGGCTTCACGTGGTTGTGCGACAGCTTTTGCTGGGGAGGTGACCTATCCGTGGCCATGACCAACCCGCAAGCGCGTAGAAAAAATGAAAATAAAATAAAATAAAAACAGAAGAGGGAAACGAATCCAACCGACGATGAGAGGGGGGGAGACCAGTTACGAAGCACCTCCGAAGTAGGATGTGTGTGGCTCACAAGATGGCGGGAACACCAAAACCGCCTCGGACGGGGGAGATGCAAAGGTCAGCAACGGGCCGTGACGGGTGAGCGATCCCTCATCAGAATTGGGAATTCACAGGTGGGTTGAGAAGATATCGGGAGGCATTCACCCAAGGAACTCAAGGGATAAGAAGAACACCAAAATGGTCGAAAGGCAAAAAGGGAAAATCAATACCTGTGGCGGCACAGTCCCTCTGGAGTTACAATGTGGCCCACAGGAATGATAGTTCTTCCCGTTGTCTCTTCTCTGTCGCGTGTCTTGGTGCGATAATAATTTTTCTCTCTCTTGAATTGCAGATTCCCTCAAAAGTGCGAAAGAGTCAATGCTGTCGTAATCCCAGAAGGGTCCAGAGGGCACAGGAGGAACAGGAGATATCAAGATCGACAACCTTCCGGAAATGACAAGAACAAATGACTAGAGAGAAGGGGGACAAGCCTTTAGCGGCAAATGCAGCGGATAACAGGGCGGAAACCCGAGATGGGCGGACCGCAGCAGACAGAAGGTGTGGCGGTGGGGGAGAGAAATAGAAGGAGGGAGAGAGTGGGGGGAGGGAAAAACAGGACGAAGAGATGAAGAAGGAAGAAGGAGAAAAATAGGAAGGAGATGAAGAAGTGAAAAGCGAAGAGAAGAGAAGAGAAAGAAGAAAATCGCGGCGGTGGAAGCAAAACAAGAGTCAAACCACTGGGCCTGTCGGGGGAGAAAGGGTGTGGGCTCTCGTGGGGGGAGTGCAGGAACGATGATTTGAAGACTAAACTAAACTGGTCATTGGAATGGAAGAAGAAAAGGTGAGGAGCCAGTCAGATGGAGCTAGGAAGTTCAGGCGTATAGTAAGTAAGTCAGGGAAATGTAGATGGGGTCTGGTCGTAATGGTCGTTGGGGAAGGTGGATGATAGATCCAGGTTCCCCCTCAAAACCCAAAAACGTATCTATCTATCGGAAGGATTTTGAGATGATAGACCACGAGGAAGCAAGGAGGATCAAAAGGGCAGCTTGGGAACTTGGAGGATTGACCCGATATGGATGGTTGGATGGTTGGGAGTGGAGAGGTGAAGGGAAAGATCTGGATGGGGAGAATTCGAAGAAGAAGAAGAAGAAGACGAAAAGGAAGAAAGGTGAAGGGGGGAGAGTAAGAAAAGAAGAAGAGGAAGAAGACGACGAAGAGAAGAGAGGAAGAAGAGAAGAAGAGAGAGAGAGAGGGTTGAAGAAGAAGAGATGAGAAGAATCAGGAAGACCGTCTAGGATGCCGACCAGTCCACGTCCTCGTCGCCCCTAGTCCCGATGGGTTAATATGACGGATCCTCCACCAAGAAGACCAGAGACAATTACTTCTGACTTACATACTACAATCATCCATTACGGTCTGCTTCCCCTTGGTTCCCAATGGGCTGGATCTCCAAGGTTGAGAGGCTCTCTTGGTACTGGGTTAGGCTGACTCCTGCAGCGGTACGGAGAACAATGAGGATTCTTCTACCTTTCTTTCCATTCGTATTATCAGTTTTTTTTTTTTTTTTATTATTATTGATATTATTGATATTATTCTTTCCTTTTCGTACTGTCTACCATAAGTACGGACTCCCTTGCTCTACAACTCATCCACACTTCTCCCCTGTTGGATGATCTACGTAGTTATGGTTTAGTGGAAATGCTAAGGTTTGGGTTTTAATACTGGCCGGGGTTGGTCGTTAAGAAGGGGGAAGAGGGGGAGGGGAGTGGAAGATGGGGGGATTCGCGATTGTGTGGGCCGCACACCCGATGCGAAGAATGACGATGCGTATCGAATATCGACAATATTGGGGACAAGGGAGAGGGAGGGGGGAGGAACCGCAAAGGAAGGAGCTCCATTTATGGATGAATGGTGGACGGTGGAGGGGGCAAAATGGGGGTCGATATCTGGTAGGGGGGATGCCAGGAACATGGGAATGATAAATGGAAAGTACTAAGCGGATTGGAATGCTCAATACGCTCCATTGGATTATTTAAGGTGTGCTCGAAGATCGTCCATTAATGTCCGAAAGGAAGACAATTTAAGTATTGAGATGAGACGAGAAAAGAGAGAAAAAAAAGAGAAAAGAAGGAAAAGAGGGAAATCCTCACCCAACCAGGTTTGTCATGAGATCAGGAAACCAAATCAAAAGAAACAGAGAGAGAGAATGGACACACGAAGATTGATTAGCTTGTGGCAGGAATTTTGTCACGTAGGGCAGCGTTATGCGCGTTGGATCGGAAATCCATAACGCCAAGTCTCCTCCAAATGACCATGGAACATTATTTACTTTGGCTGAGCTTTTTGACAACCCACTCACAAGTCTAAGATAATAGATAGATTGCCTTTACAGAGAATCGTACGACTTGTATACTCCTTCTCGATTGACATCTACGACGAACACGGTCATCATTCGAAAATGTACCTCGATAACTAGTGGTACCACATAATTCCCATTCGGAGATACTTCGACACTAAGATACGGCTGCGCCAGTCATGTCGGAAATCGTATATTTCCATCGTTCTCTTTCATGCTCACTTTCCCCTTATAGCTATACTCGAGTCTTCTTATAGAAACAACCAACTTCAAAGATCACAACCTTCAATATGAAAGGATTGCGTGGCAGAAAGACAAGGCAACTAGGGTCATGACAGACATTGGCTGATGTAATGTAATACCACCGATGCAACAGCTGTCAATGATTTTAGCCATTTGATAATAATGTTCAATGATATAAGGTAACGATCATAGCGAGAAACAGAAAGATATATGTATTAAGTATTACGAGGAAACAGTCCAATCTGATGCATGTTTATGTGGAAAGCGGTTCTGTACGACTGCATCCGATCTGGACGGGATGGAAGGAATGATATTATGCCAGCCTGGGGATGGAAAAATGCACTGAAAATGGAAAGGTTCCAAGCTGAGAACAACTGAAAAGTCAGACTCGGTTCCATGCATCACACCCTATAAAGGAGGAAAGCGACTAATATTCAAAAACAAGTGGGGAAATCCTGGGAAAAGAAAAAAAAGAAAATGGGAAAATGGGAAAATGGGAAAAAAGGAAAAAAGAAAAAAGAAAAGGGAGCAACAGGGCGCGAGCCATGGACAGGTTAACTTAACTAACCCTTCCTTGACCTACAGAATACTAAACGAACTAAGAGACTAGTGGATGATTAGAGGCTACACAGTAGATCTTGAGGTGGGCAATCCAATCCACCCTCGGTGACCTGGCAGGTTGGGAGTGGTGGTTGCTTTTTTATGCAACTTCATATCATTCATACCTCACAAGAGGGAGACCGGGGATGAGGATGGATTTCCAGGGTAATTAGATTGAGCTAGAACCGATGACCATAATTTTTGAGTTTACCAGTGGAGAGCGATTAAGGTGAGTGATAAGAGAGAGAGAGAGAATCGAACAAACCCTGTGATGACAGACTAGGGGTCTCCCCGCGAGGGCGGGACCTTACCGTTTCGAGTCGGAGTGCCTTGGCCATCACACTGGTCTCACTCACCAGGATAATACAATATAATATCGCTTCCATGATAAAGCCCCAAGGTGAATTTCTCACCAGATCTAAGCAATCACTGACATATACTGGGTAGTAGGTGGTAAATACCAGGAGTCAGGTTAGCTGCTTTCTGCCCATCCCAGCAACAAATCAGACTAAACAACTGTCATGTTGCATCACTTATTCCATGCCCCAAGCTATCCATCCCATGTTTGAGCGCACTTACGTACCTTGGTTGGGTACTGCTGCGACGAGGATCATATACCGCTGTTCATGTTGGCCAATGGCGGTGAAATGGGTCTCTACCTCCGCTGCCCATGATTTGCTGCTCCGCTCCTTGACTCTTTAGTAGAAAGTCGCCACTGCGCATTCCCACTGCACTGCTTTAGTCTGCCTCGTTGACAAACCAGCAATCCTGTCCGCTCAATCCGGGCTCGGGATCGGACTGGCGATACTTGTGTTCATGGTTCGATCATGACCGACCTTTCCTTTACCTTGGCCTCCAGATTCAGTGTCTTTGCTGCTGTACAAATCCGGTGTTTAACTCGCTTCTATCTCGGCAAGGCAAAATTCCAACTCTAAAAAAAATAAAAATAAAAAAACCGTCGAATCACGACGAGACCGATAGCTTATGCCAATGATTACTCCCGTTTTAATAATGCTAAGTCCATTACTACCTACCTAGATACCGAGTAAGTCTCTACGACAATAACCATCAGCCTCACCGATATCCCATTAAGACAGCCTCGAGTGGCAGTGTATACTGTAAATTAGCAACTTGAAACACCACACGATCTAATAAGCTTACGGGCCTGAAAGACTACCGGGGAGGGGGAGGGTGATAGCGTGGTTTTGATTTCCCACCCATGTTTGGCGAAGCGCGCGGGAAAAAAAAATAAAAGATCCTCTATATCAAACCGGCGAACAAAGAAAACGCGACCAACATTGGGAGCCTGCATGTTAAGAGTCGCATCCGTGACGAGATCGAAACATGCTTTTGTCTAGAGTGGATTAAGGTGTGAAACTGTGGGAATTTTGAGTATTCCTTGATCGAAATGTCAGCCCACAGCCCGAGACAATCCTACATATTGAAGAAAATGAATGACTGAGGGAGTGACAATCTTCAAGCTATAATGTCCGTTGGATTGGGTGGATCTCCCGCGGCAAGTAATCAATTTCTATTCTATTCCTTTTTTTTTCTTGGTTCCCCGCCCTTGGAGAGGGAAAATTTTTTTAAAGAAACAACAAAAAGGACGGCACCGTTCCCGCCCAAAGAGGATTATTACTTTTAATGGTCACTGTCGCCGAGGCATCCGTCTTTGGAATTCAAGATACTGTAACTTGTTTAAAAACTCCAGATTCTTCTCCGATTTCTATTTTCAGGATCTACCCAGGTTCAAGTTCACTAATTCAGCGAACTAGCAAGTTGGATGTGAGGGACAGACGAGCCTTTTTGCGTCAAGGGGTCAAGGGTCAAGGGTCAATGGCCAATGTCAACAGGAACTTTGTCATCCACTCGTGTTTTCGGGCGCAGCAGTATCCTACCTACTTAGGCAGGTGGATAGTCCACGTCAGGTGACCTGGTGGATATTAGCTGGCAAGTCTGAATAAATACTACAAAGTTGAATTATTACTATATCTTCTCTTCCATCCTGAATTGTGGGTGTCCTAGCTGTTGATTTCATTATGATTATTGTTGGTTATGTTGGGGTAGGGTACAGTGGGTGGAAGCGTTTTCTTCGATAACCCTTGCTCATGGACAACGAAATAGATATGCAGACGGAAAGGAGAAGCGTGGCAGACAGGACCTCTCATGTCTAATTCCCAGAGTCTAGTACAGGATTGACGGTCGTCCGCCTTGCCGGATCAAAGGATGACTCTGTGGCGACTCTAAGCCTATTAGAGTATCCTCCATGCATGTAGTACCTTCAAGACACTAACAAGTCGTCATCTGCTCGGTCGCCATATCCAGGATGACAAGGTTAGGTCAAAAGGTACTTACTCGTGATGTTTGCATTAATTCCTCACCTCCTCCGTAGTCCGTAATATGTACACACCCGAACCAGGTAAATTAGTAGTGGGAGACCGTCAACAAATTAGGCAGGTTAGGCAGACCACTGAACCAAGGCGGATCAGCAGGACTCCGATTAGCGGACGATGAGACGATCCAGGAACGTTTCCGCCAGCCGGATGGTTTGCAGGGTTTGCATCCGGATTTGCATCGTGCAGGGTTGTCCCAGGCCTGAGGCAGGCCTGCCCACGCCCGCTCTCGTTGCCTGAGGCCACAAGCCCGTCTGCCTGGTCTGCCTCCAGGCTGGTTGCTGCAGCTTCCCGAAACGGGCGCAACGCGCCCGCGTTTACCTCGGTCTTGATGAGGGAAAAGAAGGAGAACGAGAAAAAGGAAAAAGAAGAAAAAATATAAAGGGAAAAAATTCAAGAGAAAAGTGAAAGTCCAAGAAACGCCTCTCCAGGACAAGTCATCTTAGCATTTGACAGTTCACAGTGGCTGGACAGTCCAGTCGAGGAACATCACGCCCAAACAAGTCATATAAACGCACCCCACCACCTCTGACCAAGTGTATATCCTTGTATTGATGAACACTCCCTCAATCACCACCCACCACCTGTGAAGGGTGATAGATGCCCAAGGAATGTCGCCACAGCCCGGGCAGCCATTCCAGACCCATGGCTTTCAGACCTCCATGGACATCGCCCGCCAGCAGACCTATGAGGTCCCCTCGTTGGCAGGCCACAAGCGTCACACCGATCAGGGCCCCGTCGAGTCTCACAAGGCTCCAATCACAAAATACCCCCTCGCTACGACTGCAAATAATGTAGGCAGCCACCGTTCTATCGTCCCGTCTGGCTTTACGCGCGCTTCTGTGCTGCCTTCCAAGAGGCGTCTGGTTGCCAGTGAAATCCGTCCCGTGACTGCCGGTGTCTCGGAGGGAGACGGTCCCCAGCCGGTAAAGGCAAACGCTTCTGCGGACTGCCCCGATCCCCGCCAGGCTCCGCATCTGTTTCTGAGTGACCGCCGGTATGGGCTCTCGCCGGCGTTGGTGGCCAACTTTGCGGCCCTCGGGGTGAGCAGTATCTATCCGTGGCAGGCGTCATGCTTGCTGGAGCCGGGGCTGCTGGAGGGACGGAGACACCTCGTCTACACGGCTCCCACGGGCGGAGGGAAGTCGCTGGTGGCTGATGTCTTGATGCTGAAGCGGATCATTGAGAACCCGACGCGCAAGGCGATCATCGTTCTCCCTTATGTGGCGTTGGTCCAGGAGAAGTTGAAATGGCTGAGACGGATTGTCCAGGGTGTAGAGAAGAATGTTGATGATACAGACGACCCAGATGTGGAAATGAAACCGTATCATCTGCGTTGGAAGAAATTGCAAAAGTCGATTCGCGTCACTGGCTTTTTTGGAGGTAGCAGAACGTCTGCGTCATGGGCGGACACCGATATTGCGGTCTGTACGATAGAGAAGGTAGGCATATTGAGATATCGATGGGAGGGTTCGTGCTAAGATCATCTCCAGGCAAACTCCTTGATCAATTCGGCTGTTGAAGAGCGCAGCATTGGGGATTTGGGTGTGGTCGTTTTGGATGAGTTGCACATGCTCGATGACGAGCATCGTGGGTATCTTATTGAATTGGCTGTCACCAAGTTACTTTTGCTACAGCAAAATATCCAGATCATCGGCATGAGCGCTACTCTTTCTGTAAGCTCAGTTTCCACCTGGACCGCCAGAAGCCTTTCTGACATTTGCAGAACACCGAACTGCTGGCAGAGTGGATGAATGCGAATTTTTTCATTTCCACGTATCGGCCAATTCCAATAGATGAGTATCTCGTCTACGAGAATGCAATATACCCTGCGACCACCTCGAGACAGCTGTTCCAGACAATCTCCAAACTAAAATCTTCTCCAGCGACGTCTTTTACGGAGACTATCCCCCCACATCGGGTGATCCAACCGTCGACGTTCCGGGAACTCTCCAACCAAATGACAAATTCGATGGTTGCCTTGGCTATTGAGACAGCTGATGCAGGATATGGCGCGTTGGTATTTTGCGGTAGCCGACAAGGCTGCCAGATCCATGCCGCTATCATTAGCGAGGCGATGCCGATGCTACCCGACGTGGACCCGGAGGAACTGGGCAAGCGGCTGGATCTTGTGGCCGATCTGCGTAGCCTTCCAACCGGTCTCGATCCAGTTCTGGAGAAAACACTTCCGCGAGGAGTAGGATTTCACCGTGAGTGGCTGGTTAGATTGCTCGTCTTAACGTCTGAATTGATAATGCTTATTTCTAGATGCGGGAATGACTACCGAGGAGCGCGAGTTGATCGCGCAAGCTTACGATCAGGGAGTACTTAGGGTACTAGTAGCCACATGCAGCCTCGCTGCTGGAGTTAATCTCCCTGCAAGAAGGGTCATTATCAATGGGGGGCGTATGGGCCGGGACCTTGTAGGTCCAGCAATGCTGTAAGGCCCTTGAACATCGGATGAATTCTTTAGACTAACTAGTAAAGGCGTCAAATGTGTGGAAGGGCCGGTCGCAAGGGAAAAGATGACTCGGGGGAGACTTATCTAATTTGTGGAAAATCCGACCTAGAAGACGTCTGCGACCTCTTGGAGGCAGACATGCCAGCCATCGAGAGTTGTCTAGCGCCGGAGAAAAGAGGTCTCAAGCGGTATGCTTTCCATCCAGAAATGCTTACAACCTCATCACTAACGTAGTACAGGGCACTCTTGGAAGCTATCGCCACCGGACTTGCGTCCGGCTACGAAGCCATCAAAGAATACGTAAAATGCACACTTCTCTGTCGAACGGTCGACAAGAAGATAGCGTACGCCTTCATGCATTCTTCCCTCCAGGAACTAACAGAAGAGGGCCTTCTAAACCTCCGTGACGACGAAGCCTACGAAGCGACCCGACTCGGCCAGGCTGTGGTTGCGTCTGGATTCGCGCCCGAAGACGGCCTGTTCGTCTACGAAGAACTAAAAACAGCATTGCAGGCCTTCGTGATGGACGGCGATCTCCACGTCTTCTATATGTTCACGCCACTACAAGTGGCCATGGCTTCGCCAATCGACTGGCCCATCTTCCGAGACCAACTGGACAACCTCGACGAGAGCGGTCTGCGCGCTCTTCAATTCGTTGGCGTCAACCCAGGCTTCGTAAACTCCATGTACGCCTCCCTCTCCATCCCACCCCTCAACCCTCCCACATCTTATCCCAAAAACTCACGCTTAATACAGGGTCCAAACCGGCTCCACCCTCAAAGAAACCACTCCAGAACAAACCAGACAAGCCCGCATCTACCGCCGCGCCTACACAGCCTTCCAACTTCGCGACTTAAGCAACGAAGTTCCCCTAGCATCCATCGCCACCCGCTACCGCATTCCCCGCGGCGCCGTCCAAACCCTCGCCCAACAATGCCACGGCTTCGCAGCAGGCATGGTCAAATTCTGCCAGCGCATGGACTGGGGCATGCTGGCCGCCGTGCTGGATCACATGCGCGATCGCCTCGAAGCAGGCGCCCGCGCTGACCTCCTCGAATTGGCCCAGGTGACGTTCGTGAAAGGGTGGACTGCCCGTCTGCTCCGGGAGAATGGGTTCAGGAATTTGAAGGCGCTGGCTGAGGCCGATGCGAAGGATATAGTTCCTGTTTTGACGATGGTAGGCGATAGGGACGGCGCAAAGGCGAACAACTCGTTAATTGCTCGATAGGTCAACCCGCGCAAAACGCAGAAAAGCCAGCTCCACCCGTCGGAGTTGGAGCGGTATTCGAAGAAGTTGCTTGCTAAGGCGGAGATTATTGTTGCTTCTGCGAATAAGTTGTGGGGTGCGTGTCCTTACATACCTACTTTCTCCGCTTTTAACATCCGTGGTTGCTAATATTGACTTGGGTGAAATGACAGATCGGGAAATGCAGCTCGAATTGGATGAATAAGGATGGGGATCTTAGATGCTGATTTTGGAACTTGAGCCTAGCATGGAGGTTTCAGTTTGATGGGATTTGGACTTGGTTTTGGATGTTGGTCAATGGTATCCAATACCCCGGCATTTGCTGATTAGTTGTGGTTTTAGGTGCGAGAATATCGAATACAGCTACAATGGATAGATGCAGCATTTATACGAGGATATGAATTCAACGACATGATAGATTACCAGGGCGCTTCAAACCACCACCAGGTAATCTGACATCTTTTGTTTTAAAGCTAGCCATACTGTAGAAGAATCCCACCCTATTCCCAAAACCTCACCCTTAATACCAACCCCGGTTCACGCCATTCACAAAACACCAATCAAAAACCAAAGATCAAACCCCATTGAGCCTGTCCTGCGCAGCCATCACCTCCCCCTGATCCACAAAATCTGCCAACACAACATTCGGCAACCGATGATAGATCGACTCGCACAGCTCCGACTGCGCCCCGATACTGCCGTCCCCGGACGCAGCATTGGTCTTCGCCGCGTGCAGCCGGTCGGGGATCAGAACGCCTAGCACTTCCTTATCGAGGAAGTGGTTGACGATGTACATGCGTCCGTCGGGGGAGGCGCCGGGGGGCCGGTCAATGCTGCAGTTTGGGAATGAGGCGTCTGTTATGCCGTAGGGCGTTTCGAAGAAGTAGGCGAATTCATCGAGGATGTAGGGGGTGGTTTTGGGGTCGGAGCCGTAGTCTGTGTGTTTGAGTTGGCTTTTTCGTTTCTCTCTCTTACTGTGGGGGGTTTGTTTATAGAGGGGGAGGAGGGAAGGGGTACATACCCAAAAACACAACCAGCCGCTTGTTATTCTCAATCAAACTCCCCAGCGTAGGCCACGCATCCATAGCCAACACATCCGGACTCCCCTCGGGCACAAAAGCATACTCATTTACCTTTGCCTCCGCGAACGCCTGATCGAAGCGCGAGACGGGCAGATTGTCCCCGTTCGTCAGGAGCAGGGTAACCACTTCGTCCGGGTGCGCGTCTAGCCATGTTTTGACCGTCTCGAGGAAAGACACCAGCGTGCCGGCGTCTTCGAGAAAACAGGAGGTGTGGCAGAGGCGGATGGGGTCCTTCTCGTCGAGGGATTTGTGTGTTTGGCCTTGGAGGAAGCGAATGCCGAGGTCGAGTTGCTCTGTTACTTCGAGGTTTTGGTTTTGTTGGGGGAGGGGCCCGACGAAGGGGCTGTCGTGGGCGCCTAGGTGGGTTAGTTGGGAGTATTTGCGGGTGCAGTAGGTGGATTGGCCGTTGCAGGCTTTTGGTGCTGCTGCTGCTGCTGCTGTTGCTGCTGCGGAGGAGACTGGAGATGGGTGGAGGAGGAGAGTGGGGAGGAGGAGGCTTAGGGTTAGGTAGGAGAGGGTGGAGGCCATCGTGGGATGAAGTTATTTTAGTCTGGTGAGTTGCAGTGGTCACGAAGAGTTGGCTACTTTGGTTGGTTGACTGATATATTTATAGTTGTTTGTTGATAAGGTATATTATATTTATAGTGGTTATTGACAGACAACGAGGGAACAGTTCTTTCCTTTGTTAGTCAAACAATGACTGCATCACGCTGGAACAAGACTGACCGGACGACTCCGCATGGGATCAAGGAACCCTCATCCTCACGCCATGTGATGTCGGGATTGGTCAGGAGTGCTGAGAGGAGAGGGGTACAGCGTGAAGCGAAGGATCATTCCTCTTGGTCCTTACTCAGTCCAGTTAGGTTGGAAGACCGGGGTTGAACCGTAGTACATATAGCCTTAGAAATGTAGATAGGTGGGTAGGGACTGGGTCTGGATGGGTATGTACGTGCATATCCTGGATAGCCGGGCGGCTACATGTCTGGTGTTGTTTATAACTTGTAAACAGGAAGGATCAAGGTTGAAGCTTATTCTGATATCTGTTCCTGTGATATGCGGAGCTGGTGATGGGATCATCTGGTCTGGTCATGATAGGATGATCGAGATTATTTATAACCCAACATACCTGGTAGATCAGTAGATGTTTAATCTTTAGGTAAAATAATACCTATGCAAGGTACTGATGGGAAATAAGGATACTCAAAAGGAAGGTATGTAGGAGGAGGTAGAAGAAGACTGTGTCAGCAGCATTGTGCATTCTCTAACGCGTGTTGGTATATTCCATCCTACCTATATACCTCAGTGGGTAGTGAATTAGCAGTATTATTTCTCAATATCAAGCATGCAAATTATATGCACTGTCAATAGTTCATTGGAGTTCGTAGGATGTCTCTATATGATTCCCATTAAGGTTTGTATTCTAGAATACCCCTTGGTTATCTCAGGTACCCAGGTCAACAGGATTTATAGGATAACAATTTTAACAGATAGATATATAGAAATGAAGGGCTAAAAGATTCAGGATCTTTGTTATTAGCACGAGTATTCAATTCTCCATGTTCTCGGCGAGTTTATAATAGACAGATTATGCGATAGTGAGAGACTATGAATATATATAGTGTACAGCTGAGAGCAGTCAATCCTGCACACGTAACTTGGTTAGGTTGGCAACTAAGTAGAATTCAGAAAACCCCCCTGAATAGAGATATCTCAAAAATAGAATAAACAAAGTATTCTAGTAGGATGAAGACAGTTCCCCAAACTGAGATGTCTATACTACAAACTAAACCCAACCGAGTAATCCACCGTTCACGCCCCAGGCCATTCCCGCTTTGAACTCCCCAGCTTAACCAGTTCAACCAAACCAACCAAACCAGCCTCGTTGATCTTCGCCCTCTCCGACCTCTCTCCAATCTCCACCCTCCACCCTCCAGTTCACCGCACCACCCCTCCAACTCTTTCTACTAAAATCCCATCCAACCCCGGATTGTTATCATCCGCTGGACACCTTCCTCAACTCCGCGACTCCCCCCGCTCCCGATCTAACTTCCGATCGTCCGTGAGGAGGCCTGCCCTGCTCCGCCCCATCCTGTCGCACCAAGCTCGCTTTGCCGCTCGTGAACTGTCACCAACCTCCCCCCCCTCCCCCCCCTAGATCGTGTCGGCGCCGTCCTTATTCCCTAAGGTTAACCGATACTGTCTTTTGCCAGTCGACGTGGAAGCGATGGTCACCCGAACATTTCGCTGATGAGCTCCATGATTGAGGGTAGTGATGACGGGGCACGAGAGGATGAGCTCGACCTGGGCCCGGAGGAGGACAATATGCACCGGGTAGCCAATGGCGTCACAGACGATAGCTCGTCACGACCGCAGAAAGGACCGGAGGCAGGCTCAATGGCCGACGGGGAGGAGGACGAGGATCTCCCGAATATAGACACCCAGGACCGTGCCTCGGCCCAACCCACCCCTACACCGGTCGCCGATGCGACTGATGGCGTCTTGCCCTCGCCCCGTCCTGGCCAGCTCGATGGATCCGGTAGCATGGACGAGACCACGTCCAATCCCGATGACACCCCGTCGCTACATGTTGGTTGCGACCGATGCTCTTCCCCGTGATCCCAGCTGATTGTTTTAGGGTTCGCTTCCCTCCTCGTTAAGCAGCAGTGCGCTGGCACTGCGGAGCTCCCCTCGACCCAGCCCCAGTCCGTCACATCGACCCTTCGATCTTCGTTTCCAATCCCGATTGTCGACCTCGTCCTTGGGCGGTTTCCGACCATCGTCTCCCTTCTTGTCCCACATCCATTCTCGGAAGTCGTCTCTCACCAGCCGGTTATCCCCCGGCACCCCCGACATCGATGCGGACCCCCAGGGACCCTGGGATGTTGTGCGGTGGACAAAGCTGCGGAAGATCACCGGCCAGGCGTTTTCTGAAGTGGGCAAGAGGAACTTCGGACACCCGTCGTGCTTAGCGGTGTCAACCGCGATTGTGATCGGGACCTCGAAAGGCGTCATTCTGGTATTCGACTATCAGCAGAGCTTGCGAACGATCATTGGCACTGGTACAAAAGGTACGTTCATACTGTTTATGGTGATCTGAGCTGTATTGACTTGCGGGTGTAGCGGTGGAGTGCGGGGCTATCACGGCGTTGGCGTTGTCCGCGGATCATACAACAATCGCGGCCGGCCATGCATCGGGGGATATCTTTACCTGGGAGATCTCCAAGTCCGCGCGACCGTTCCTACATATCCCACCAATCCCGGCGAATCAGATCGACAGCCGAACGGCCGACGGCCACGTCGCGGACGCCTCGGTCATTCACATCGGGTTCCTGGGAATGAGGCGCACGGCACTCGTGTCGGCCGACAAACGAGGAATGGCGTTTTCGCATCTCGCGACTCGCGGGATGGGCGCGATCGGTCGGACGGTCAAGACCACCAGAATCCTGGGTCGCTATCCGCAGCACATCTCCCATGGCAATCAGCCGCGGCGGCCGAGCTCCGTCCTCGCATTCTCTCCGCTACCACTGGGCAACGTCGACCAACCGACGGACTCGCTGGGCTTGGTTGCGATGCTGACGCCCTTTCTCCTGGTCATCGTGTCGACGACACCGGTGGCGCACACCCAGCACAAGGTGCCCCGACCCAGAGAAGTGGCCGCCCACGGCGCAATGACGGGGGCGCTGGCGTGGTTTCCGGCCATCCGGCTCAAAGGCAGTCAATCCCAGACCTCGATGACGAAGCTGGTGTACTGCTGGTCGAACGTGCTCACCGTTCTGGATGTCTCCGAATTGAAGACCGACGAAAACCCGGATCGGGACCGTCGCCCAACGCTGACGTTCAAATCGCGGAGTCGCTGGAAGGCTGACGAGGCGATCGTTGCCGTCCAATGGCTGAGCCGTTCCGTCTTGGCCGTGCTCACCATCACGCAGCAATTGTTGATCCTGGAAGATCATACCATGCGCGTCACGGAAGCGGTTGATCTTCTCAACCGGCATATATACCACGTTGATTTGTTTTCGGCACAGCTCCATTCGCTTGTCGAGCAGTTGGACGAAGATGATACGTCGATGCACGGCGTGGTGGCTGATGCCTTCTATATGAGCTTCCGCTCCTACAAAGGACGCCTGTTCCTGTTGAGCTATAACGAAGCGCTCGCCGGTGGCCTGTCGAACTGGGCGGACCGGTTATTGGCGTTCATGGAGTCTGGGGATTTCATCGGGGCCATCAAGCTGGCGACCTCTTACTACCAGGGCAACTCGGAGAAGCTCACCGTCGGCCTGCCCGATGAAGACGCGCTGAGAGAGCCTCTTGTCCAAACAAAACTTTTGGAGATGATGACGGCTTCCTTGAAGTACGCGTTCGGTCGCAATGCCGGAGCAAGCAACGAGCCGCTCGGAAGCCCGCAACTGGAAGAGTTGGCCGAGGTGTCCATCCAGGCGTGTGTCTGTATGGCGAACGACGACTTCCTCTGGGACGAAGTCTTCACGTGGTATGAGGAACACGGAGCGCCCGGGATCTTCCTCGATGCGTTGGAGCCGTACATTGTCGAGGGGACGGTGCGCACTCTGCCTCCGACGGCGATCAAGGCCTTGATCAACCACTTTGCGACGAACCATACCGCCTCTCGTCTGGAGGAGATCATTTGCCTGCTTGATACCACTACGATCGATATTGACCAAGTGACGTCGCTGTGCAAGCATCACAATCTGTACGACGCTTTCATCTATGTCTGGAACCGCAGCCTGGGAGACTACGTGGGACCGCTCCAGGAGCTGCTGAGGCTGATTCCGTCCAACGAAGCCCTGGCCAACGGGGACTCGGTCAACGCCATCAAACAATACACGAATGCGATCAAGATGTTCCCCTATTTGTCCTATGTATTGACCGGCCGCATCTACCCCACCGGAGACGAGATGGACGAGACCGAGGCGACCCAGGCCAAGGCCGCCTTGTATGACTTTCTCTTTTCGGGGAATCTGTCCGGCACAGACCCCGGATCCAACGGATCATTTGCCGATCTGCAGACCATGCTGAAGTTCAGCGCACCCAGTTTTATGAGCATGCTGAACGAAGCGTTTGAGGACAGTTTTCTGAACGAGCAGGAACCCGATGAGACTCCCTACCAGGGGAGATCCATCAACCGGCAGTATTTGATCACGATCCTCCTGCAGGTCATGACGCCGCCGGCTTTTGAACCTACGGATACTATCTATCTTGACATGTTCGTTGCTCGTAACCAACCGAAATACCCCCAGTATATCCTCCTCTCTGGCAGCACGGTACATCAGGTTTTGGAGCGGCTGTGCCAGTATCCTAGCCCGGAGATGGCGGAAGACTGTGAGCTCAGCGCCGAGTACCTGCTGTCGTTCTACCGACCTCCTGATATCCAGACCATGATCCCGCTCTTTAGAGCGGCCCGGTTTTTCCGGATCCTCAAGTCGACCTATCGTGCTGAGAAGCGCTTCCCTGAATTGATCCTCACCTACCTCGAATGTCCGAACGAGAGGGAGACGATCTTCACCTGCTTACAAGACTGTCTTCGCCCGGGATCGATCCTCGGGAAAAAGCAGAGGCGCGGTGTTGTCGACGTGGTGAAGGAGCATGCGGGTGAACTCCTTGCCATCGATGTGGAGAGGACTGCTCAGACCATGCAAGACTATGCCCCCGAGACGCATGAGACATTCCTCGGTGTTCTGAAAGATGATCCCCACGGCCAATATCAATACCTGTCTATGATCGTCGAGCCTGCGGCGCAGGCTGGAGCCGAGCGTCGATCATCGAAACCCGTTGAAAACTGGATGGTGGAGCGGTATGTTCAGTTGCTGTGTCGATACAATCCTTCGCAGGTAGCCACCTTCGTGGACGCGCTCCGTGTGGGAGACGTGCGGCTCGAGGAGCTCTTGCCGTGGATGGAGGAAAGCGGCGTGGTGGATGCGGCCGTCATCCTGCTGGCTCGACAAGGCCAAGTCCGGAGTGCCATGGACCGTCTCATCGGACATCTCGGGATGCTGGAGTCGGGCCTGGTGGGCATTCTCCGCAGTATTCAAGCGAGTCCCGATTCCGCCAGCACCGCGGAGGCCATTGACGACCTCGTTGAATCGTTGGACAAGTATTCTCGGGTCGGAATCTGGCTTTGCCAAGGCCAAAGCAAGACCGCAACGAAGACTCCGTCTGACAAACAAAATGGAACGCGAGCAAACCAACCGCTTTCGTTCGAGGAGAACCTCTGGCTGGATCTGATCGAGTCGGTCGTCCGTATCGCAAGCAGTGTCTTTTCGCTGATTCCGCGGGAACAGGCCGACAACAACGCAGAGGTGAACCGAGCCGCCGCCCCGCTGATATCGGCGTTCCGTGCGCTGGTGCAGCAAGTGTTCAGCGCGCTACTGTCAGGCACGATCCGCATTGGCGGGTCCAGCGATCGCAGCGGCATGGGCTTTCTGCGGATCCTCCGGGCCTTTCTTACGCGTGCGGCGCAGTGGTCGCCCTCGCTTCTGGAGCTGCGGGCCGTCCTGGCCTCCGTGTTCTCGGCATACACCTACGAGAAGTCTCTCCTCGCTCTGGCGAACGGGATGCTGGACCGCGATTTGTTTGTCCATGTGGACGAGGTGACGCAACTGCGCCAACGTGGATGGCGACCGCGCGGGCAGGTGTGCGAGCTCTGTCGGCAGCGCATCTGGGGCCCCGGAGTGGGTGCTCGATACTGGGATGCATGGACGCAACGACAGGCCGACTCGCACCAGCACCGTGTCGCCAAACGACTCGGCGAGCGAGACGATCCCGCGCGCGCCCGCGGCAAGGGCAAAGGGGTCGCTGTGGCGGACGCTGGGAACCAGCCTCTCCATCACACGCACCACACCCATCACGACGAACATGCGCACCCGGTGGACTCGACCGATGCGACCGCGGGACCACCCAGCGATGGTGGGGAGGCGCCCCTTGGACCGGCCGTGGTCTTCTCCTGTCGACACCTGTATCACCGGCAGTGTCTTGTGGACCGTGCGGAACAGATCGGATCCACGCGGAAACGGGGATCAGGGGGAGGCGATTGGGAGGCGCTGTCGTGTATAGTTTGTCCTGTACATAGTGATTGAGTGACGGGGATGGGTGGCTTGGTGTTGTAGTAATTACGATCTCTCCCATGACCATTATGATCCACCTCTCCTCTCCCCTGTAGATCACCCTCATCTAATTGAACGGATACATACGGGATGGCAGGAGCAGCCAAGCCCGCTTGACATTATTTAAAGGTATTTCAAATGCACCTCAAGTCCATTTTGGGGCGTGACTAAGACAATCAATGAATCAGACGGGGGTTTTGTCTGGATCATCTGCACGCGGTCATCCGTTCTTTGTGCATGATGCAGTCCTCTCCTCCAACCTTAATCCACATACTCCACGCTCTCCATCCACAGTGCCGTCCATGGTTTCCTCCGATTGGATCTATCTGTCAGCCGGGCAGATCTTCAGGTCGTCCATTCATCCTCCCCACCTCGTCATCCTCCCGCGCTTCCACTGAATCACCCGCCCCTCCCATCGGTTACTGAAACGGTCTCGGCCAGGGACATCCTTTCTGCAACAGTTCCGAACAAGCCATCCTGATACTGTCATCAGTCTAGTTTAGTTTCGAACCAGCTTCAGGGTTGGTCGAGTTCGACCCAGCCCTCCCCTCCCCTTCCCAAAAGAAAGCCTTGTGCCACGCGCCACCTGGCGGGTTATGTGTGTGCTCTCTTTGACAGGAGATCGCCTCCTACTTGGCCGGCTAGGACATTTCTTTCATCCCCTGTTCTTGTTCTTCTGTCTCCTATTGAGAATGGCTTCCACCCATTGTCGACTGTACTTGAGGCCGGTCCACGACAGATCTAGCCGGCTTCAAAGAGACTTGCGGCTATGGTACTACGTTCGACCCCTCTACCTCACTCCATTGTTCACATGGATGAAACGCACATATTGGTGACTCCCAAGCCATGTCATTCAAACCCACGGGGCCAGCCCCCCGTTCTCTCTGGTCGGGTGGGTGTATCATGGCTGACGCCACAATCTCGCTAGCACACCAGAGATGGGAGAACCCGTTGCGTCCGAGGGGTATATATATCGTGCCTGGGCCTGGCAGGTCTGGGGGAGTGTCGGAAGAAAAAGACTCCTCTTGTAATACACACAACGCTCCTTTGTACTCTCGGGCTGTGGCCTTTATTGATTGATTCTCCGAAGGTGGTTGTCGCCGTTCCTTTACTTTTTCTTGACAAGTGCTGGACGTGCTTTGCTTTTTGGTCTGATATATACATACCTATCTTACCACCTTCTTCACTCTCCTTGGGGATTCCCATTTAACGTCTATCCTTGATATCGATCTGGAGTTGATCTCCTGTATACTTTTCCCACTCCTTACCATATTTATATACCCTTCTCTCATTCAAACGAGATACCTGCAATATGCAGCTCCTCTCAACACTCCTTCCCATCCTGGGCCTGTCCCTATCCCTCTCTCTCCCCACCACAGCCTACGTACTGCAAGACGACTACGGCACCTCAAACGCCTTCTTCGACCAGTTCACCTTCTTCACAGACACCGACCCCACCCACGGGTTCGTGAAGTACATTGACCGCGGCGCCGCCCAGAACGCCGGCCTGGTCTCCGCCGACGGCGGGTCCGTCTACATGGGCGTGGATTTCAAGAACCAAGCCAGCGGGGGGCGCCAGAGCGTGCGCATCTCTAGTAACAAGAGCTACAACCATGGCTTGTTCATCTTGGACTTGCAGCATATGCCGGGTGGGATTTGCGGGACGTGGCCTGCTTAGTATGTACTCCCTTCTCTATCTCATACTTCTCTACTCTCAACGAGAAAGGGGGAAAAAAAATAAAATAAAAAGAAAACGGTATGTATCTAACAAAGAGACAAAAAAAGCTGGCTCCTCGGCCCCAACTGGCCCAACAACGGCGAAATCGACATAATCGAAGGCGTGCACGAGCAAACCACAAACCTCATGGCCGCCCACACCTCCGACGGCTGCACAATTGCCAACACAGGCTTCTCCGGCGCCCTCCAATCAAGCAACTGCTACGTCTCAGCCCCCAACCAAGCCAGCAACGTCGGCTGCAGCATCTCCGCCGGGTCCGCGCAGACCTACGGCGCGGGGTTCAACGGCGGCGGTGGCGGCGTCTACGCGACGGAGTGGACGGGCTCCGCGATCAGTATCTGGTTTTGGCCGCGCAATGCGATCCCGGGGGATGTTTCGGCGGGGAATCCCAATCCGGCGGGGTGGGGGACGCCTGTTGCTAGGTTTGCGGGCGGGTGTGATGTTGATGCGAAGTTTAGGGATATGCAGATTGTACGCCCATTCTTTCCCTCCCCCCCCCCTTTCGTTTTTTCCCCTCTATCCCTTTACTTCACTTCCACCCCATCTGCTCGATTTGTGATCAAAGAAGTAACTAACAACACCCCAAAGGTCTTCGACACAACCTTCTGCGGCGACTGGGCCGGCTCCGTGTGGAACTCGGGATCGTGCGCCTCTAAGGCAGGCTCTTGCACGGATTTCGTCGCTAATAACCCTGGTGCTTTCCGTGATGCGTATTGGCGGATTAATTCGTTGAAGGTTTATCGACAGTGATATAGATCATTTTTGGGTTTAGTATGCGCCGGGGGTACACTCTCTTGGGATGATGGTTTGATATAGTCGATTATGGGGTTTTGTTGGTGGTGGTGGCGGTGGTGGGTTGGTTTAGATGGATGTTTATAGCCTGACTATATATAGTTGGATACGCTCGTTTTTATGAAGTAGCTTAGTTTAGTTTATTCAGTGTTAGTATTTATACTTATATTCATGTGAAATGAGATTATGATACGTGAGTGCTACGTACATTACTGGACTAACGACCCACACTCCAGGAGAGTCGAACTGTCCAAGCTGGATAGGTGATTAGGAAGCCGTCATAAATTTACACTATGTCTATATACATTATCGTTTCATGGAAACAGAGACCAAATCAACGACAAAGACAGCTGCAGACCGCTCCTCCAAACAGAGACAGACGCCAAATAGAAGTAATAGCCATTGCTATAATGCATGTTGGAAACAGTATGGCGGAGTCGCTGTCAGTTGGTTAGATAGATAGATAGGTACTACACCTATGAATAGAAGCGAAAGAGGAAAGAAATAAGAAGAAAATAAGTAAATAACCAAAATATCTGACCAGCTCTATATACTTCTAGCCAACTATAATTTAAACCCCAACTCATCCCTCCTATCATCCGTCAACCGCCCCCACTCCAACAATAACCTAAAGAAATAAATCTCCATATCCTCCTTCCGCAGCACCTGCTGCGCCCACTCGCGGCCCGACTCCGCAATCCAGCGCCCGCGCGAGCTATGCGGCTCCATCAGCAGCTTGCGCTTGGCGGAGCCGTCCACATCGAGGGTGATGTCCGCGCCGGCGAAGTAAGCGAGCGTGCTCCACAGGCCGTGCAGGCGCAGGTCGACAGGGACGAAGTGCATCCAGGCTGTGAGGCGCGAGTCGAACCACTGGCGGAAGAGGCCCGTGCGGAAGGGTAGGCTGTGGCTGAGGAGGAAGGGGAGGAAGCGGCCGCTGAAGCCGGCGCCGTCGGCGTCGAAGAGGAATCGGTAGGCCCAGTGGCCTTGGAAGTCGATGTGGCCCGATGGGTGGAACTCGTCGACTTGCTCTTCGCAGTCGCCGTCCGAGCAGTGGTCGACTTGGGAGAGTTGGACGGTGGCTTCGAGGCCGAGGATGTCGAGGGGCGCGCGCCCGTCGAGCACTTGGTAGGAGTAGGTGGGGGGTTCGGCGCCGATTTCGGTGGGGAGGAGCACGGCGACTTTGCTGAGGGTGTTGTTGTTGACGAGGTGGGTGAGGCGTTGGCGCGGTTTGCCTTTCCATTGTCCCATGGCGCTGGTGCCTTCGGAGGTTGCGCCGATCCAGAAGAGGCGGTTTTCTTTGTCTTCGTATGGCTCGTCGGGGAATTCTTCTGATGGGCTGTAGACGGCTTTGTCGACGTAGTTCCAGGGGCTGGGGTACAAGATGTCGCTGAAGCCGTGGAGGGCGCTTTGGCTGAAGACGGGGATCAGTTCCTGCGAGACCTTGAAGGAGGCTGGGGACTGGATGAATCCGTGCAGGAACGCGAGATCCGGCTGGTGGCAGATGTCGGTGGCTACCTCCCAGTTGGAGGGAAACTGCCCCAGCGAGTGCGGCCGGACGCAGCCTAGACATGTGCTGGTTCGGTCCCAGATCCGCTGCGAACGCGCTTTCGAGGACGGGGGGCAGAGGACGCTGACGTAGCGATCGAAGATGTTTTTGAAGGAGCTCTCCACGAACCTCGTGTCCGTCGATTGATCGGCTGGCTCGATAGGAGGCCAGGTCTCGCTACGGTCTTCGGACCATTCGCGCGATGGGTCCTGGTTCGCGAGAAGATCCCCGGACCGCGCCACTCCCTTGAACACACTCATCTTCTCCCAAGGGACCGCCACTCGCGGCTCATCGTCCAGGTTGAAAGCGATGTCCATGTCGGGGAGGTGCTCGACGAACTTCTGGATGATCTCAATGGCGCCACCCACCATCCACGCGTGGGTGGGCTTGATGCCTTCCTGAATGCGGACGGTGCCGTTGCGGATGAGAAGTCCACCAATGCTGTTCCATGGGTTCGTGTTTAACAAGTGCGTCTCTTCCCGGATTTGCTGCGGCGATAGAGCGCGGAACGGCAGCAGATTTTCGTGGATTTGATCAAACTCGTCCAGCACGACCGATTTCCTGCTGGTCGCATATTCAAACCACTTGTCGAAGCCCCTATACTGCCGTCAGCGGGCCGCTCGCGGCGGGATGCGGGGACTACTCACGGTGGTGGATGCTGTTGATACTTGTCCCGGTAACGTCGGACAGCTTCCGTTAGGCTCTCACTAATATTAGCCCGGGCCAACCACGCGCTGTGCTGCTGCTGGGAGTCGTGGATGAGCAGATCGATCGGATGGAGATGGGCAACACTGGGCTGATGGCTCGCTAAGATCAGCCCGATGCCGAACAGAAAAACGGTAAACGCCCGGATAGCGATGTTGAAGACATGAAGCGGTTCCGGCTCATCACCGCACGCTGTCCGGCCAGCCAAGAATACGATGACGCTCAGGAAGACCGACAGGAGCGAAAACAAAGCATATGAAGGAAAAATCAACGGAAACGGCTGTTGTCCGTTGAACAAGGCCGAGGACCACGTGAAATAGATACATATAAAGCCGGCTAGCGTGGCGAGCCCAACTGCGCCGTAGGATGGAATCTGGGTTTGTTAGCCTGGCTCAAAGAGTGCCCAGCGGAAACATCACTTACAAGCTGAGATGCAGACACGACCACCAAAGTCACCAGGAGCCCTTGACAGACCGAGCTTCGCAGGAAATGAGAACTGACAAAGCCACCATCATCCCATATCGAGCTTGTCTTTTGGGCAATGATATCAGTGGTCGTCCAAACCAAGGCGACTCCCTGCCAAGCAGGCGGTTAGCGAACTGCGATTGTTCAAGTCCAGCGTAGAACCTACAAGAAAGCCCAAGCCCCACGAGATCAACGATTGTTTTCTACCTCTGCCGTCTCTCGACCGTCCGCCTTTGGGGGCTAATTCGCCAGCGCCGATCAAAATCACACAGTCGAGGAGTGTGCTGAGCACTTTGAACATGCGGAGGCGCGGATAATGGCCCGAGGTGATGGGGCAGATGAAGGTTGACTGCCGACCTTTCTCGAAATCACTCGTCATCATGCCCCCGATCAAAAGGAGAACAGTCGATATCAAGTATCGAACGCGCGTTTGACAGACGTAAAAGTGCACGCGACTGACGAGGTTGATGAGGCTGCGGAGCAGCACATTCGAAGGCCCGTCGGGTTGGGTCCATTTGGGCGTCGGTCGGGCACGCTGGTTGCGAATGTAGTCGTATAGGGCGACTAGGAAGGGGATCGCCCACTGTAGACAGTTTCCTCATCAGCATCGACTCGTCTGATCGTTGTGACTTGATTTTGCAATGCGCACTCACGGTGTAGCCGGCCGGTGTACACCCGTCATCGATGGTGAATTCGCGATACAACGCCACCCTTATAGAGCCCACCGCTGACAGCAAGAGAACCTTCGCCCACCGTCTCCGATTGAATTTCCGCGTCGACGGGAAATGGCCGCCATTGAGGTTGGATGACAAGGATGCCTCCTCGAGGGTCTCGTCGCGTTCGGTGAGAGGTATGGACGTGTACTTTTGCGGGGAAGACGACTTGATTTCCGTAGGTATGAAGAAGCTTAGGATAAAGAGCGTAAACGCGGCAAGGTAACATGTAAGGATAGCTGTCTTGACAGGATGATCTGTACGGATCCACGCGATCTGTCAGTTCAACGGCGCAACACAGGAGACAGCAGACCGCCCATTCGAACGTACCAAAGGCAAAGGTAGTGTTATAACTCGTAGAAAGAACTGTACAACTCAGTATAAATACACTGGAGTGTTATATTTGATCAGCTCAATTTTCCGGAGACGAGTGACGGTCGCGTGCGTACCCCAACGAAGCCCGAAGGCCTGTCTCCTGGGAGAAGAGAGTGACCATGTTGCATTAATCACAGTAAATATTGAACGCCATTACTGCATCACTTCCCAATTCGCAGCATTTAGTGGAGTTCGCAAGCAGGGAAGGCGATCGTGAGACGACCGGGGGGCAAGGGGGAGAGCTTTGTCCAGTCGGATAAATCAAAATCACGATGACCGGAGGAATAGTATTTTAGAAATGAATTAAGTCTTAATGACAGATCTGCGGAGAAGGACCCCTAGACATTGATCTCATGGAGTGGGGACATCAAAAGGGGAGAGGAGCGAAGGAAGGGAGAGCAATGCGATGGGCAAAGACAGGGACCGAAAGGTCGAGGAATGGAGCAAAGAGAAGCCCAGAATAAAAATAAGAAAATTGTAGATATGTCGATGAAACAAGCCTGGACCGTGGAATGAGGATCAGCTATCAAGTATCCCAGGCAGTCGATGTCATCGATCACCACATCCAATATCGTATTTTGGTTCTTCCTATTTTCGTGATCTTGAAATCCGCGTTATTTGCACATAATCCTGGATCCCTACAAAACCGAATAGATAACAACGTCCGTTGAAAATTCGCCTGGCCTGATCAAGCGGGGGTTGTGCATTTCTTGTCACCAGGGAAATTCCACAGACTCTCCCATGGTCCCAGGCCTCGTCATCCAGCAAATTAACCAGAGTTGAGGCCAATCAACCGCCATCAATCCTGCTTTGAATCGCGTCGATCCTTTCCCAGCACAATCCTGCTGAGGTCAGCATCCAGGCACTATGCGCATAGCGCTGCACTATAAGAGCTAACCTGTTTGGGTTAGGCTGCTATGCACGTGCCTGTGCCAAATGACTAATCAACAGATCAGATACAGAAGGCGGTGGGTGACGGCAAATCACGGCTCCGCTGATAACTTTTTTTTTTTCTTGTCGGCGCATACGAAAATATTGTCCCAAGCGACAGCAATCTTGCAATTCGATTCCCACCAACCGGCCACTCTCTCTCCTCCCGTTTCCTAAAGGGTTTGGACTGTCCCACGGAGGACGCAAGGTTGTGTGTGGGCAACAGTTTCCCCCGCCAATAACTCGATATCGTTCGTTTGCGCTACCGTCGATATACCGATAATCTCGTGAAGCCGACAGCTGCCCATCATGCCTCGCAAGGCGATCGATTCGCGAATCCCTGCGCTCATTCGGAATGGCGTGCAGGAAAAGAAACGAAGCTTTTTCGTGATCGTCGGTGACCGCGCCAAGGATGTCATCGTCAATCTCCACTATCTCATGTCGAGCGCCGATGTCAAACAGAACAAGTCCGTTCTCTGGGCGTACAAGAAGGATCTGCTAGGGTTCACCAGTCACCGGAAGAAGCGTGAGGCGCGCATCAAGAAGGAAGTCAAGAGAGGCATCCGGGAGCCGAACTCGGAGGATCCGTTCGAACTGTTCATCACCCTCAACCAGATCCGTTATGTCTACTACAAGGAGACGGAGAAGATTCTCGGTAACACCTACGGAATGTGTATTCTCCAGGATTTCGAAGCCATGACGCCCAATTTGCTTGCACGGACGGTCGAGACTGTCGAGGGTGGAGGAATGGTCTTGCTGCTCTTGAAGAGCATGAACAGCTTGAAGCAGCTCTACACCTTGTCGATGGACATCCACTCCAGATACCGCACGGAAGCCCACGATGATGTCGTTGCCCGGTTCAACGAACGGTTTATCCTGTCCCTAGGCAGCTGTGAGTCGTGTCTGGTCCTCGATGACGAGATGAACGTCTTGCCCATCTCCGGAGGCAAAAACGTGAAGCCGCTTCCGCCCCCCGAGTCGGTAGATACGACCAGCACGCCTGCCCAGAAGGAACTCAAGACAATCAAGGAGAGTCTGGCAGAAACGCAGCCGATCGGATCGCTGGTCAACCTGGCCCGGACCGTCGACCAGGCGAAAGCACTGTTGACATTCGTTGACTCCATCACGGAGAAGACGCTTCGCAACACGGTGGCGCTGACCGCCGCGAGAGGTCGTGGTAAGTCCGCGGCTCTTGGTGTGGCCATTGCGGCCGCCGTCGCGCATGGATACAGCAACATCTTCATCACCTCTCCGAGCCCGGAGAACTTGAAGACCCTTTTCGAGTTCATCTTCAAAGGATTCGACGCGCTTGGGTATCTCGACCACGTCGATTACACCATCTTGCAGTCGACCAACCCCGACTTCAACAAAGCGGTCGTGAGGGTCAACATCCACCGTCAACACCGTCAGACCATCCAGTATATCCAGCCCCAGGACGCCCACGTTTTGGGTCAGGCGGAACTGCTCGTCATTGATGAAGCCGCTGCAATCCCGCTTCCCCTGGTCCGCAAGCTCATGGGACCCTACCTGGTCTTCATGGCGTCGACCATCAACGGTTACGAAGGAACGGGCCGGTCTCTCTCCCTAAAACTGATTCAACAGCTCCGAGAGCAGTCGAGGGGTGGCCTCAAGACCAATGGCCAGGAGGACATCGATGTCGCCGATCGCGCCACGGGTAAGGCTGCGAAGAACTCGGAGAAAAGCTTGGGTGGTCGGTCTCTGAAGGAGATCACTCTGTCCGAGCCTATTCGATATGCGCCAGGAGACCATGTGGAGAAATGGCTGAACAGAGTCTTGTGTCTCGACGCAACGCTGCCCAAGTCCAAGATCAACACCCAGGGCTGCCCGCACCCCTCCAAGTGTCAACTCCTGCAGGTCAACCGAGACACCCTGTTCTCCTTCCATCCCGTCTCCGAGAAGTTCCTCCAGCAAATGATGGCCCTGTATGTCGCGAGTCACTACAAGAACACCCCCAACGATCTGCAGTTGATGAGCGATGCTCCGGCGCACCAGCTCTTCGTTCTCGTGCCGCCCATCGACGAAGCCGCAACCAAACTCCCCGAACCCCTCTGTGTCATCCAAGTGGCGCTGGAAGGTCGCATTAGCAGACAGAGTGTGCTCAACGCCCTAAGCCGCGGCCAGCGAGCTGGCGGTGATCTCATCCCCTGGCTGGTGAGCCAGCAGTACCAGGACGAGGACTTCGCAGGTCTGTCGGGCGCCAGAATCGTCCGCATCGCCACGAACCCTGAATACATGAACATGGGCTACGGATCGCGCGCTTTGGAGCTGCTGATTGATTTCTACGAAGGCAAATTCACCAGTCTGTCGGAAGATGCCGAGCAGGCTCAGGAGCACATGGTTCGGGTCACCGACGCAGAGCTTACCAACTCCAGCCTCCTGGACGACAACGTCCACGTCCGCGACATCCGCTCTATGCCGCCTCTCTTCGGCAAACTGTCCGAGCGTCGCCCCGACGCCCTGGACTACGTCGGCGTCAGCTACGGACTGACCCCCTCCCTGCACAAGTTCTGGAAGCGCTCCGCCTTCGCCCCCGTCTACCTCCGCCAAACGCCCAACGAGCTCACCGGCGAACACTCCTGCGTGATGCTGCGCACCCTCTCCCCGGGATCCAACGACCCCGCTTGGCTGGGCGCCTTCGCGCGAGACTTCCACAAGCGCTTCCTCGCCCTCCTCTCCTACCAATTCCGCGAATTCCCCTCCGTGCTCTCCCTCAGCATCTGCGAATCCGCCAACGCCGGCGCCAAACTGGACACGGCCACGACGACTGCTCTCCTCAGAAAGGCTGACCTCGACGCCGCCTTCTCCCCCTTCGACCTCAAGCGTCTCGACAGCTACGCCAACAACCTCCTCGACTACCACGTCATCCTCGACATGGTCCCCACCATCGCAGAGTACTACTTCGCCGGCCGCCTCAACGGCCGAGTCAGCCTCTCGGGCGTGCAGCAGTCCATCCTGCTCGCCATCGGCTCGCAGCGCAAGAATCTCGAATCCCTCCAGTCAGAGCTGAGCCTGCCCTCATCGCAGCTTCTCGCCATGTTCCTTAAGATCGTGCGCAAGATGTCCTCGCACTTCCGCAACCTCGTCGAGGGCGCCGTCGCCGATACGCTTCCCGCGGAGAAAATCCCCGTCAGTAACGCCGCTAACGACGCCCACGATGAGAATGCCGACGAGCGTTTCAAGCCCCTCGCTCAGAACCTGGACGACGAGCTCCGCGAGGGCGGAAAGCAGGTGGATAGCGAAATGCGCGAGAAGCAGCGCGCTCTGATCGACTCTTTGCCGCTTGAGCAGTGAGTTCCCTCTTTCTTCTCCCCTTTCCTTCTCCTTCTGGCCTCTCCCATACAAGAGTCTTCCAGCCTCCCCCCGTCCAATTGAATGGAATGAATGGAATGAACAATAACTGATTCCCAGTCTCCAGATACGCAATCAATAACGGCGACGCCAGCTGGGAAGAAGCCGAGAAGCAAGTCCGCGGCGGCGGCGCCTCCACCGTCAGCATCAAGTCGTCCAAGCAGAGTAAGCGCAAGAAGGGCGAATCCGCGCGCGAGCTCTTCGACACGGAGGTCGACTCCAAGAGACAGAAGATTATCAAGAAGGGGACGGAGGGGAAGAAGAAGAGCAAGCATTGATTTGTTTACATTAGAGAGGTTTCATTTATTTCTTGTTTATGAAGATGGTTGGTTTCGAGCTAACACCATGGAGTGCAAATGCCATGGAATGCAATCTGGCGTCGTGTGGTTTCCTTTCCTTCTTTGTGTGTATGTATGTGTGTATGTGCATTTTTTACGATAATTGGCGTTTTTCATTTGGCTGTTTTATATATCCACTAGATATTTACTGTGTTGCAGTGATATTGAAGAGAGAAAATTAAAAGTTTTTTTTTTTAAAAAAAAAAAAAATGTTAAATAGCCGTTAAACTACATTTACCCTGCGCTACTCTTTCGAGCCATTTTTCACGAGTATGGTATCCTAAACGCCCGCTATACCCTGGGGCAGACAGTCATACCAACTTACAATTCATCGTGATCGGCTGCAGCCTCCTCCTTCGCAGCGCCAACAATGCCCTCCGGCAGCTTGCTCTTCGACCCCTCACCTAGTCTGATGGCATCGATCCAGGTCTCTACCGCCTTCTGCCCGTAGGCGGCGCTACCATCATACCTCCTCCACCAGCCCCTACGTCCGTTGACAGCGATGATCTCGACCTCCGTGGCATCCGCCGACAGGCCCAGACCGTCTCTCAGGGACTGGGCTTTGTCATTGGTGCTGGGTACGCTGTAGAAGGGGAAGAGCTTCGTCTGTCTGAGTGCGTGCTTGTGCGCGATCTCGGCAAGGCTCGCCAGGGCTTCCTGTGCGGGGCCGGACTCGCTGGACTCGGGGACAAGAGCCAGGACGCAGGTACCGGATTTGGGCATGAGGCAGGCGGAGTCTAGGGCTTCTGCGGATGCGAGCGTGTCAATGGTGTGGGACTGGACGGGGGGTTGGGCTGCGGGCTTTTCCTGCGCGTTGTCATTATCTTCATCGTCAGCAGCCTTTGACTCCGTTGATTGAGTTGGCTTGCTGGAGCTTTCAGCGGACTTGGTCGCTTTGGTTGACTTGGAGGATTTGGACTTGGCGGGGGCAGGGTCTTGGTTGGGCGCCGCAGCCTGGCTGAGGAACTCGACCATGGGCTGCTTCTTAAGCTCGCCATCATAAACGATAGGATCTTTGCCCTCCCCAGGGAGCAAGACGAGGGTGGGGAAGCTCTCCACCTCGAACTTCTCCACCGCGTCGGACTCCTTGCTGCGGACCTGGCCGACCTTGATCGAGTCCAGGAAGTCGATAGCGAGGGCGCGGATGAGGGCGCTGGTCGTGCCCTTCTCCGTGAACAGGAGAGCCTTGGGGCTCTCTTCGTCCTCGGAAAGCCACCCGTCCAGGTCCTTGTCCGTCACCTTCTTGACATGGTTCGGGATGCGGTCCACGACCGCGTCCACGATGGCTTTGGCGCTCCGCGCGCCCTGGTAGTCTTCCACTCTCGGCTTGCCGGGCTTCTTGGACGGGGTCATGATCTTGAGCGTCGGGAAGCCCTGGACGCCCAGTCGGCCGCAGAGGGGCTTGTTTGTGTCATCGTCGCAGTTGACCGCGGCTACCTTGGCCAAGCCGTCTAGGTTCTTGGCTGCTTTCTCGTAGGCGGGTTTGAGGTTTTGGCAGTGGCCGCACCATGGCGCGTAGAATCTAGCGACGCGATCCTGTTAGAGCTGGGGATGAAGGTCAAGGGGTAAATAGAGGAGAGCTGCTTACTCTACGATCTTCAAGCCAAGCGATGTTAGTCCTGCTGTGACTGTCTACTCTGGAACTTCGGTCTCGAGTCCACTTACCGACGGGTAGTTCGAGTTCGCGATATGCTGATCGTAAGTCTTCGCATCTACCTGCAGCACAGGCGATTTCTTAGTATACAAGCCATCGGCGCTGACAGGGAGAGCTGCCAGAAGCGACGCGACGAGAAGAAGCGCAGGGCTAGACTGCAACTGCATCATGAAGTAGAATCAAAGCCTGAACTTTTAGGACACGTGTTAAACATAAGACGTAGCAGGAGGAATGTCTCCAGGGCCAGATAGGGAGCCGGGAGGAATTATAAGCTCGAGGCGAAGGTGAATGGTGGCTGGATGGGGAGATTGACGCAAGGTGTCCTGAAGCTCTTGGCGCGTCGCCCAAATGGGAAAAGCGACAAATTCCCCAGATCAGTGCTTATTGTTAGCCTTGGTGATATCAGCAAACGATGATGATATCTTTACTACAGGTATTGGAAATATAGCAAATTAGAGAAACAATAACACTCTGCTGCTAATAATTTGTATAAAATAGTAAAGGCTATTTAGTTTAGTGCTTTAGTTACAGGAGTTATCAAACAGGAAGGAGGATCAAGGCTGCAAAGATATAGACCTCTTTTCCTATTCCAGAATCTACCTGCTGACCTCTTATGTTAGAGAGAGAGAGAGAATTGTATTATTCATTTCGAGTAGAAGTGATTTTTTGTCTCTGCGATATATGCTATCCAAAGTACCATCAATATTCACATATGGTGTAGATCAGAAAGTATCCATGTTATTACTACTAACACAAAATAATAATTATATAGTCCTCACTGAACATGACATCTTCTACTCTATCAATATCATTAGCTATCCCATAAGATACTATCTGTCGAGAGGACGTTTTGAATAAACCCTTAGATAATAGACACTATAAGACTAACAGATAATATAATATACCAAATAAACAGATATTCTGGTATAGTGGCTGAAGGAACATGAAGTATACATTATTACTTGATGAACGGAAGAAGATAGACTGAGACGTTTGATCAAAAAGCCAGTATAGACTAACAGGGCAGGGTCAGAAATAGCGAGAAAGATCCTTTTATACAAAGTGCCAGTGGTAAAGGATGAATGGTTGTGAAGAGCATTTCATACCCCGGCGGTCAGCTCTGCAGCCACTGCTCGAAGATCTTAAGCACAGCGTCCTCTGTGAGGACTACATACCTTCCCCCGACAAACAGGCGGTCATCCGATAAGCAATTCGAGAGAGAGACAGTTCCATTAGTCTCGACTTCGACCAGCGTAAGTGGGCCAAGGCGAGACACTGAAATTGACAACGAACCGTTTATTCCGCAAACATTAATTATGGTAGACAGTCATCACGTTGTATTTGGGATAGACTAGTCACCAGATGGATATTGTCAATAACTTCCCATCTGTTCCCGCTTGTGAATATTCAAAGCAGGCGGATATCACAGTTTCATATGAGAATCGGTGGGCATCAGTGGCTCTCAGCCACTACATCAAATTACCGAATCGGCATTTTATCGGGCTTGATATAACTGATATCTCAACAGATACTCATCAGATTCATTGAGAACAGCTGCTTATCATCGATTTTTGAAGAAGCGCCATTGTATACTTGTGATCCCAACCAGTCATGACTCTGATGACAAGCAGTATAGTAAAGCTTCAGGATGCCGCGGCAGTGGCTTATATTACCCAATAATACAGCGAGCTCTGACGAGATGTCTTTTCGTCCTGCGGCTTTTGGGAGCACCGTACTGCCCAAGAACAAGGCTAAGGATCTTACTGGGTCCTTCGTAAGGTAGTGTTCTTGCGGATCTGTTCCGCGGGCTGCGACTATTGTGGTTTGCATGCGTCGCATTGGATATAAGGTTACTTACGAAACGACTTTTCGACGGCTTGGGGTCAGGGGATGAGGATTCTAAGTCTGTAGCAGGCACCAGTTCGTATTCACGATCATCCTGTTGTTCGAAATTGGTACGGTTCTTCTGTCTCCGAGCACCACCGCGGCAGCGATTTAGACCAGGGGCTATGATCCCAAACTCATAGACTCAAAGTGCCATTATGTCTTTTGTAGCCGAGTGGTAAGTCTTGCAACAGTATGGAAACATTGTCGAACGCAACGCAGGACTCAGTCGATGGAGGAGCGCATTGGCCTGGTTCGGCCGCTCGAGAAGGAACAACCCGCAGAACCTATTCAGATACTTGTCCAGGATCATCATGGATCTCAGCTAGGATAGATAAAAGTAGCCTTGCTAGCTAGCTTGATCAAATGCACGAGTCTGTTAGGTGTATGGTTGTGGATCGCTCGATTGGCGCTTCGATCAGAAGGTGGGGCATAAAGGTGTGGACGTTGGGTGATCGGCATGTCTAACCATCTAGCGAGATCACGTGACAGTATATGTATAACAGACCGAAGATGCAGCCCAGCTGACTAAATATGGTCGACGATGTTGTTCCTGATCCCGCTCCATTTCTCCCCCGCATTCGCACATGTCGGTGGAGACCAGCGGTGGCATGCAACCACCACAGGACCTAGGGCCCCTAGGCATAGCTTTTTTGCCACGAGAGATCTTTTGGATGATCCTGAACCAGCTTCCGCCCAAGGATATCGTCCGTTGTCGCCTTGTCTCCCGGTCGTGGAATGATGCGTTTGCAAACCCCGACAACCTCGTCCCGCTCTTGAAGCAGCTCTTCCCAAGGGCAAAGGGGGTGAGGGAACATCTTCGTGAAGGCTCATTCGATGAACTGGTGGCATGCGACGACCCCGGCAAATGGCGCAAGCTCTTTGACCAGGTAGCCGCCAGGTATGACCATCTCAGCCGCGGCAAGCCGTGGTCCGTCCAGAGGTACAAACTTTGCGATGAGTTTGGAGTCACTGGCGAAAGGGAGTGGTTCCAGGTGCAGCCCTGGGACAACCATGCCAGTCACTTGATGCAGCGTGTGGACTGCCCCTTTTCGGAATCGTTCTGGACGTACGAAGATGGCCTTCTGGTCTATCCCAGCGCTGATTTCTCGTGTCTAGTTCTCATGGACCTGGATAACGATAGAAAGTTTATGGTGCCGTTTATTATCACAGGAAAGGTGATTCGACGCATCAGGCTGCAGAAGAGAGTACTCGTGGTCGAATGGGCTGAACCGAAAGCATTCCATTGGCTGAATGATAGCGACGGGGTGCATCGTCACTTTGCGTCGTCCTTGGATGTGAGCTGGGCCGATAACGGCTGGCGAATCACCTTTCGAAATGAGTGGAAGATCATGTTTCTCGGACACCCTTTGAGCGAGAGAGATCGGTTTTATTCCTCCCACAGCCAGACACACTACGTCATCTACATTTGGCAGCCCAATCGCAGTTTATACACCGCTGACGAGGATGCTCCCATCGAGTCACTGTCGGTGTGGGACATATCCAAACCATCCGATTACCGACCTTCCTTGGATCCGACAGGCCGTGGGCGCGAGGACGCACAAGACCCGGGTCCCTCTATTATAACACGCCTGGGGTTCAGAGAATTGGGATTCTATTCAGTCCGACAGCGCGGTCTCCCAGGAGTCCAGTGCCTGCACATTACGGACGATGATCGATCGATCGAGATCGTCCAGAATTTCTGCACGGGCCCGATTGACCGTCTTGTCGGTCCTGCTGAGTGGGTATCTCAGGTGCAGGTCACTAGCATCCCATTGATCGGTGACGGGCCATGCTGGCGACGATTCGCTGACGTAGCGCTTCCTCCCTACCGTGGAAATGGGAGCTTGCAGACAAACCCTCTTAGCTTTGCCATCTGCAACGAGCCTTGGTATACCATCGTTTCCGAAGCATATGACTCCGAAGCTGGCGTGGGCTTTTGTCTTCATTTGTCCCCGGCTGCCTGGCCGTTCGACCTGAACACGTCCCTCAGTATTCGGACACCTTTCTCGGCCATCACCCTCAAGCAGGAAGACATATATGAGCTAACAAATAAAGGAATGATATATGGAAATGAGAGATATCTGGTGGGCGAGAATGGAAACCGTGAACTAGTGATTTACAGGTTCGACAGGCAGTGATTATTGCTATTGCAATGATGACACCTGCATTTCACACATGACCACTCGACATCCATGTTTGGCCGGGTTGATATCAACCAAACTGCCAGAACGTTTCAGACCACTATATGGCAAATGGTCTCATCTACTCAGAAAACCCACCGGCTCAACATTACCCCAGTGCGTCTCTCTCATCGACCATGGCGCTCTTCATGCCCCGGCCTACAACTCAGGGAGAGGCGACTCCAGGGAATGACTTCCATCCAATCACTAGTATAAGGCCGGATGTGTTCACGTTCGTCAGCATTGAAATTCGGACTCGAGATACAGCTGTATTCTCGACACCACTTCAACTTGGGCCTGAACACGCTGACAAGGTGATACATATGCATCAGAACCTTACATTTGAGCTCACAGATCGGAGGGGAGACACCTCTTAGCCCTCCAAGAGATCAAGCCACCACCCAAGCAGTGCTAATAGTCAACGTCATGTCAACCGAAAGCATTGTATATATTATGACTGTGGATTTCCGGCCTTATGATACCCTATAGTAAGGAGCTGCCTCAAATATGATAGTATTCATAAAAAACAAGCATTCAATCTCTTATATCACAAACACAGCTTGCTTTCACCATTTTGTAGGACTAGAACAAATCCGCCTCGTAAGACTGGCGATTCCACTTATCGGGGTGTATCATCTGCCTTATCATCCAGCCCTTTCTTTTCTGCTTCTTCCTAAATGCACGAGACAAGTCATCTTTCTCCCCAGAAAGAAGTCACATTTGGTCCTTAGAAATAGCAATCTCTAACTATAATCCACAGGCAGATCTCTCCTGAGACGTATAACTTCGTAGTGCGTCGGTTCAACTGGTTTCGTCTTCCCTCTCTGGATGAGAGGTATTGAAAGTGAGAAGATAGGTAGGTAGGTACATATCGAGGCGAGATAGTGGATGCGTGGTGGCTGCGGTCGTTGAAAAGCCTTTCTAGTCGATATTGCATGGAAAGATTTACCCCGGGAAATGGTCATCTTATTAACTTGCTCTGTTTGGTCATAACTACCTAGCTATGTACCTATTTTTCACGATCACACCTCCAACTGATAGATAGAGGGTCTCTCCAGACTAATTAGTTGTAGTTGCCTTGCGAGTCATTCCTTGATGTCAAACCAATCCTTATTACTGGCATCATGAAAGTCATCTCCCATACAGCAACAATACCATCATCACGTTGTCACAACACCTCACCCCTACTCCCCAAACACAATCAAACCATCCTACCTATCATCATATCCCCGGAACTTACATCCCACACAAGCCTTACAACCACAGCCCGGACAAGTCAGCGTATAGATCGGCATCCACCGATGACAAGTTTCACACTCGGCATGCTCGAAGTCCTTATCCCACGGTCCAAGATGAAGACACTGCTCTGCGCTCTGGTGTGTAGGCAAGGGTTGTGCGTGGGTGAATGTCTGCCGGACGCCTTCGAGCCAGCCGCAGAAGGTCTCCATGACGATGCCTCGGAGTTCAACGTGCATGTCTTCCTGGGTGTAACGCCCGCTGGGGTGGTTGAGCTTGGCGTTGAGGTATGGGATGAAGGGGGCGATATAAGGATGGGTCTCCGGTGGGAGTTCACTTTCGGGTGGCTGGGGTATGCTGCTTTGGCGGCGTGAGAATGGGTTGGAGATTTGGGAGTAGGCATCTGTGAACGAGTCCTGATCGCTGTGGCAGTCGTAGAAGATGGTGGGCTCTTGCTCGTTTTCACTGAGAGGGATGCCACTTGGGTTGTCTTCATTTTCGGTTTCGTCAGATTCATTGGACTCTTCAGAGACAGGGGTTTCCTGAAAGGTGTAGTCTTTAGTAGTTGGGTTGTGTTTGTGGGACTGCTGCGGAGGAGTCGTGGGATTGAAGCTGTCATCGCGGACTTCGTCCGGCTTGACCTCTTCGTCCACGTTCACGTCCTCATCCAGTTGTACTCCCTCTTCCATGACCTCGTGATCATGGTCTTGATCACTGCCATTGTCATGATGCAGGGTGTCGTCACCTTCCTCAAACTGTTGATCTTCTCCCTGCCCGTCCTCTTCGTCATCCCATTCAGCATAATGCTGAGAGTGCTGCTCGTCCTCCTCACCATCCCAACACCCATAATAAAACTCCTCCTCCATCTGAGTATAGCCCTCTTCATTCTGCTCACGCCAATTACCCCCTTCATAACCCCTGAAGTTAGCACCCTCAAAGTTAGTACCCCCAAAGCTAGCATCCCCAACGTTAGCACCCCCGAAGCCACCCCCCCAAAAGCCCGGCTCCCCAAACCTCCCTCTCTCCCTCTCCATCTCCCCCCTCCTCACCCTCTCCTCCTCCTCCCTCCTCTCCTCCTCCTCCTGCTCCCTCCTAATCTCCTCCCCAAACCTCACATCCGCCTCACACCGCTCTCTCTCCTCGCGCGACTCATTCGAAAACGGATCCATATGCACACTATTCGCATAGCTGTACATGTACCGCGCATTGCTATTGCGCATGTTGTACCAGAACGGGTTCTGCGGCCGCCACCCGTGGTAAGATGCGCTGAAGAGCACGTGGTCGTCTAGTTTCCTTTGGCGGGTGAGGTGCGCGTCGTGGGTTTTGCGCCGGTGGGGGTCGCGGAGGGTTTCGACGGCTTGTTGGATCTGGTTTGGTTAGATTTGGGTTGGTATGAGGAAAGGGCGAGGAGGGGAGTGTAGGTGGTAGTAACAGTAACAGTGTCTGAGAATGAAGATGAGGGAGAAGAGGGATGATATCCTCACCTTGCGGAACTCATCAATAGACTCAGTACTTCCGCCTGCTTTGTCCGGGTGGTGCTTCAGTGCGAGGCGTTTGTAGGCGCTGTTGATGTCTTTTGTGGTTGCGTCGTTGGAGATGCCTAGGATTTCGTAGTAGTTCACTACGGTTATGGAGGTCATTGCGATGGAGGTAAGGTCTATGGTTTCTTGGATTCTTGGTTTGCTGAACTGGTTGTTCTGCTGGGTGGGCTTGTTTGATCGTTGGTGTTGTAGTGCAGTAGTGCTCTGTTTGAGATGGTTGTCGGGTGGAAAAGGATGGATGGGTGCTTAGTAGGTCTTCAGATGTGAGGATAGAACTGGTGAAAAGGGTTTAGATTGATGCCAGTGGGAGGTTTAAGAGAAGGGTTGTCTGTGTGTTGAAAGGATAGTGCGTGGGTGGTTAGAATGGAGAAGGAGCTAGCAATCGTCCACTGTGAATGAGGGTGCCCACGACCACTTCGTGTACCCATGCAATATCACTACCTATTGATAACTATGAATTGACTGGACGCTGTTAATACCCCCCGCAATAGGAGGGTTAAGAGGAATGAATGACGATAACCTATACCATCCAATATCAATTCAATACGACCCTATCACTGAATATCCAGGAAACAAAGAAAATGTAGTGACTGATTTACACGCGAAAGTATCTAGGTATTGATGATTAAGTCTACACAAAGGCGACTCCATCCCAAAGCTTCGTGAAAAGCTTTTACATGTCCGCAGAGGCGGTGGCACCGGTGATAATTTCGACCAGTTCGCCAGTAATGGCGGCCTGGCGCTGACGGTTGTACAGAATCTGGAACCTGTAGGGTATTAGATTGCGTTCAAGCCAATTCAAAGTTGCATGACTCACTTGTTGATCATCTCACCAGCGTTCTTCGAGGCGTTCTGTAGAAGAAAAAAGGTCAGTAAATATCATGGGAACTACGGTTCCAGGAAAACTTGCCTCCATGGCGTTGCGACGAGCCTATTTATTGATTAGCATGAGTTCAAATCGATCAATAACATCAATCGTGGAGTTCTTACCGAAATCTCGCAAGCGTGGCCCTCAGCCATAGCCCAGAACAGGCTGTTGGCGAGAGAGTACTGGCGGAGGTTGGCCAGGGCCTCCTCGTCGACCTCGAAGGCGGAGATGTTGGCTAGGGGAGAAGATTAGCTTGCTAGCTAATTGCGAAAAAGAAGCATCTCCAAGACTAACCGGACTGGGTGATGGCCTCCTCGGAGAAAGCCTCAATGGTCTGGGCCTCGTAGCTCTGGGCATTGACGAAGTGGTTGTAGATGATCTTCACGCTGGAGTAGTCCTCGGGCAGCAGGGCGATCTGGTCGGCAACGGCCTGGGCGTCGGCGAAGGTGGGGATATCCTTGCAGACGTTGGCGAAGCTCAGAACCAGGGCATCGGCGTTGGTTCTGGCCAACTGGGCCTTGGCCTTCTCGCCGAGAACGACGATGTCCGAGTTGGGGTACTGCTGGAAGACACGGCGGGTAGCCTTGCTCAGACCGGAGTGGATACCACCGCAGAGACCCTTGTCGGAGCTGGCGACGACCAGCAGAGTCTTCTTGTCGTCGAGAGGCTTGGTCTCGGCCTCCTCGAAGACGGTGTTGGAGGTCTGACCGTAGGCACGGGACTCGCCCATGGCCTTCTGGGCACGGGTCAGACGGGTCGAGGCGATAACCTTCATGGTGTTGGTGATCTTCTCGATGTTCTTGATGGACTTCAGACGGCCCTCGATTTCACGCAGGGTCGCGAAGTTAGCCGCGTTGGTGGGGGCAGTGCTTTAAGAGGGGGGAAAAAAAATCGTCAGCTATCAATCGTCTTCCTTCCTGACGATGTCCCATCCCTCCATGATCATCTATCGATTCCCTTCTCATCCATTGTTGGGGTACGGCATGGAGGTGGGAAAACCGAGTCGAAGGTACGGTGGGCGGATGGATCGTGCAGAGCCAGACTTACCGGGTGACGACAGCACTGCCAGCCCTGACGGCCGGACGCACAGCACGAGAGAACATGGTGAGATCAAGCCGGTGAAGATGAGGGGGAAAAGGGACCAGCGAATGGGGGCGGGGCGAGGGGAGTGGTGGTAGAGCAGAGAGCCGCGAAGGTCAATTCGATGGTCTGGTAACGAAAGAAGACGTTGTGACTTTGGGGGACTCCTGTTTCTGTTCTTCCGACAGCCGGCAGAACGGGAAGCCAGTCTACACTAAGCCTAATCGGGTGGCCCAACCTTCTCGGGAGAAGCAGGAAGACCCAAAGTGCAGCCATTTTCGGTGGGTTTGCGTGGATGACATAAGCCGCACTCCCGGCGGCAACTCGGGAATGCGTGTAATGCACGTATCGACACCTGAGGCCAGGCAGCACGAGCCCACACACCAGCCGGAGTCCACCACAGCATCCCGTACCCTACAGTAGTAGTTGAAAGATTTGCCTGAATTTCCGTCATTTTTTCCCTCAACCAAGTGGACACCTCAGGCTAGCCCAGGACCCAAAGGAACGTGAGATCGATCGCCTGAGGCCCCCAAGGCCTCGCTTTCCCATTCCTGCTCTTCCCTCTCTCCCTCCTCTTTTCTCTTACCCTATAACCAACGCTCTCTCCCTCTTTTCTCTCTTCTTCCCTTTTCCCTCACTTTCTCTCCCACTGCTCCTTCCCTTGCCACTCATTTCCTCCCTTCTTGGCTTCATTTCAATGTATTCTCGCTTCCTCTGACCTTCTCATCTCAGCTCGAGCCTTCTATTGGCCAGAATCTCCTTGATCTCTTCCCTCAGGCAAGCGCCTACGCTCTTCTTCAGACTAGGCCGGTCAACCTCCACGCCCTCTACCCTGCACCGGGTCTCCCTACACACCCAGTACTCGATTCGGCGCATTCCGTATTGCCGTTCAACCATCATGAGCTCGTCAGACGATGATACCCCGCTTGTTCAGGCCAACGGCCGGTCTTCTGGTGAGTTCCCTCGTCCCGTTCTCACTCACTCTCTGGTCCTCTCCCTCGCGACAGAGGCTTCACCGCGATCCCCTCCTATCCTCTTCCCTAGAACCTACGTTTGCCACATGGTGATATCTTCTTGGGCTTACATTGCATCTCTCTCGCTCTCATTATAGGTATCTCCAGAGACGTTGCGATGAAGGACGCAGGGCGTACGAATGGCAACATCCACCAGGGCGATGTGGCGATGGAAGATGTGGATGCAAACGCCAGCAAGAGGAAATCGCGAACCAGCGTCGGCCAGAGGAAGTCCTATGCGGAACCCGAAAGCAGTGAGGATGACCAGCCCTTGGTACGCCTGTCCCCTGAACGCCAATGATCGTTCTGCCCTCCACCCTGCGACACTTCTGCTGTCGCTGTTCGTTTCAGCGGCTGACCATTCGATAGAGCAAGCGCCGTCGCACTTCTGTCAAAAAAGAGGAGTCTTCTGATGACGACGTCCCCTTGGCTAATGGAAAGAGGACCCCCAAGGCCGCCCAGGCCGCCACCGGCGCAGAATCCGATTCCGACGTCCCCATCGGCAAGAAACTCGCCTCGGAGAAGAAGGCGACCCAGCAACGGGCGACGAAGGATACCAAGGCCCCCGCCAAGGCAACCAAGCCCGCGCCCGCCAATAACAGGCGGCAGTCGAACGGCGTCAAGAAGGAACCCGTCGATGACGCGAAGCCGACGGCGAGACGGACTACGACCACGAAGATCAAGACGGAGCCGGAGTCGTCGAGATCCACCCCGGCAAAGAGAGGAAGCGCCAAGTCGGCGGCCCTGAAGAAGGAGGAAAGCGAAGAAGCCGACGACGGCGAGGAAGAGGAATACAGATGGTGGGAGGACCCAACGAAGGGCGATGGCACCATCAAGTGGACCACCCTCGAGCACAACGGCGTGGTTTTCCCTCCTCCGTATGAGCCCTTGCCACAGGATGTCAAGATGAAGTATGACGGTATCCCGGTCACTCTGCATCCCGATGCCGAAGAGGTCGCAGGGTTCTTTGGGGGCATGCTCAACTCGACCCATAACGTTGAGAATCCGGTGTTCCAGAAGAACTTTTTCGCGGACTTCAAGGACATTCTGAAGAAGACGGGCGGCGCCAAAGACTCCAAGGGGAACAAAGTCGACATCAAGGAGTTCTCCAAGTGCGATTTCCAGCCGATCTTCGCATACCACGAGATGAAACGCCAGGAGAAGCGGAACCTTCCTGCGGCCGAGAAGAAACGTCTCAAGGCCGAGAAAGACGAAGAAGAAGCGCCGTATATGTTTTGCATGTGGGACGGCCGCAAACAGAGGGTCGGCAACTTCCGTGTCGAACCGCCGTCGCTCTTCCGTGGCCGCGGGGAACACCCCAAGACTGGACGCGTCAAGACACGCGTCCAGCCGGAACAGATCACCATCAACATCGGCAAGGACGCGCGTGTCCCGCCCCCACCCGAGGGTCATCGGTGGAAAGAAGTCAAGCATGACCAGGAAGGGACATGGCTGGCAATGTGGCAAGAAAATATCAATGGGAACTACAAATATGTTATGCTTGCCGCGAACTCGGACGTGAAGGGCCAGAGCGACTACAAGAAATTCGAAAAGGCCCGGGAATTGAAGTACCACATCGAAAAGATTCGCAAGGATTACCGGAAGAACCTGAAGCATGAGCTGATGGTTGAGAGGCAGAAGGCCACCGCTGTCTATCTTATTGACCAGTTTGCTCTTCGTGCTGGTAATGAGAAGGGCGAGGATGAGGCGGAGACGGTCGGATGCTGTTCGCTGAAATACGAAAACGTCACCTTGAAGCCGCCAAACAAGGTCGTCTTCGACTTTTTGGGTAAGGACAGTATCCGCTTCTATGACGAAGTCGAGGTCGATCCGCAGGTCTTCAAGAATCTGAAAATCTTCAAGAAGCCTCCTAAGAAGGACGGTGATGAGATCTTTGATCGGCTCACTGTAAGTCTACACTCAAGAATCTGCATGGTCGTGCGCTAACCTCCCTTGAGACTTCCGCCCTCAATAAGCATCTTTCGGTTTACATGCCAGGGTTGACGGCCAAGGTGTTCCGTACTTACAACGCTTCCCACACCATGGGTGAGCTGCTCAAAGACATGAAGGCCACGGGTAACAACGCCGAGAAGGTAAAGGCCTACAACGATGCCAACCGTAAGGTGGCCATTCTCTGTAATCACAAGCGAACTGTCGCCGCAAGCCACGCCAACTCCATGGAGAAGATGACCGAACGGGTGAGCATCATTCCTAACTCTTGAAGTCTTCCTCTCCTTGTTGAAGCTTTGCTGACCAGAGTTTCACCATCCACAGATCAAGGGGCTTCGCTATCAGAAGTGGCGTCTGAAGCAGCAGTTGCTGGACTTGGAGCCTACCCTCAAGAAGAAGAGGGGCGCCAAGTATTTCGAACTGGACGAGGACATCGACCTCGACTGGATCAAAGAGCATCAAGCTTTCTTGATTGAAGAGCAGAAGCAGAAGATTCAGAAGAAATTCGAGAAAGACAACGAAAAACTCGTCGCCGAAGGTGAAAAGGAAATGAAAGCCACTGAACTCAAAACCCGGCTTGAAGTCGTCAAAGACCTCGAGAAGAAGTACAACAAAGAAAACAAGACGGGCAAGGTGGAGGCTGAAGGCAAGGGTCCCACCGTGGACAAGATCGATACAAATATCGGAAAGCTTGAGCAACGGATCGAGAACATGGAGCTCCAAGCCCAAGACAAAGAAGATAACAAGGAGGTGGCTCTGGGAACCTCTAAGATTGTAAGTTCCTCTCCCATGTGGACCGGATTGTTCCAGCAACTAACGTCGCGCAGAACTACATCGATCCTCGTCTCACTGTCGTGTTTAGCAAGAAGTTCGATGTGCCCATGGAGAAGTTCTTCTCCAAGTCCTTGCGGGAGAAATTCGAATGGGCCATCAAGTCTGTTGACAAAGACTGGGAGTTTTAAACCGAGACTCAACCTTTGAGCCTTTATCAGGGATCTGATTGCAGACTGATTGACTATGTAATTTTTGCTTACCTTTTTTTGCCCCTCCCGTTTTGTGCCGCCGTTTTTACGATCGGTCGTCGATGAATTGTGATATATTGCATTTTCTTGTCTTTCCCCAGCACAGCTTTTTTTGCTTATAGTTGCTGTAACACCAGTTGTTTCTACCTCAACAACATCCACCAATTTCTCCCCCCAAACACACAGCCTCCATTCAAAGCTATCGATTCATGGACTGCAAAATATCGTCGAGATTCGCTCTTTTTGCTATTCTCTTGTCCTGTTTTTGCAATACTTGTCACGCTGCTCACTACACTACGTTGATAAAGACTACATGAGCAATGCTGCCCAGCCAAGGAAAAAAAATCATATCTCAACACATACAGACATCTATCTACACAACATGCCTCTTTCACCCGCATTAAAGAAACCACATATCACCAGCAGAATAACAGCGAAGTGTGACCCGCAAGGAAAAATCTGGATACAATAACAAGTCCATCCATTACTGGGCATGCAGCCATTTTCAAGACCCATAGAGTTGGCATTTGGCTTTAGAAAATAAAAATAAAAACAAAACTCAATCAAACAACTCTAGAAACTCAAACAAACACTCAAATATACTATGTATTCTACCTATCTATAGTGCATGAAATTATTCGGTAGTCGTCTGTATCCTAGTAGTGGCAAAACTGTCGAAGGACATTTAATCCATCCCTAAGAATCCTCCAGCGATGCATGCCATACACCTTGGCAAGCGCCTTGTCGATTAATCTACTTGTCCGCCTTCAATTTCTGCCGTTCGCCCTCTTCGAGTCACATCCAGTCAGTACCTTCTGTTCCTGGTCTTCAGCTCTACCCTAGGGACTGCCTGTCAAAGATAACCGCCTTAACCAAGCTTGACACTGGTTCCGGTGATAAACCACCTAGTCAACTAAGCAGAAATGGTGGAGAGTGGCCCAGATGCCGCATTCGCTTATCATGAACCGCCAATAACAACTATACTGAGCCATACTGGATTCCTCGTCGTTTTGAATCTCGTGAATGTCTGCCTTGACAGAATACTATACTGCGGGCTCGTCGGACAGCTGTTTATCGGCATCCTTTGGGGCACCCCTGGCGCAAAGTGGCTCAATCGTGAGACAGAGACTGTGATCCAACAACTAGGGTATCTAGGACTGATTATGTTAGTATACGAGGGTAAGTATATAGTTCTCCTACCTGCACAGTGTAAGCAATCTGCTGACGCTCGATCAGGCGGGCTGTCAACATCTATCAAGTCCGTGAGGGCAAACCTCCAGGTTTCCGTCTGCGTTGCCATCACTGGCATTGGAGCACCAATGGGTCTGTCGTTTGTTCTGACTGGGCTCGTCAATGCAACCTCGTTACAAGCATTCGCCGCAGGTGCAGCCCTCAGCGCGACAAGTCTCGGCACCACCTTTACGATACTTTCAACGACGAATCTGATCTCCACGCGCCTAGGGACAGTCACGACCAGTGCTGCCATGCTAGATGACGTCGTCGGGCTCGTCATGGTTCAAATCATCTCGAACCTCGGCGGGAGCGCTTCATCGTTCAGTTCGCTAACGGTTATCCGTCCCGTCTTCGTCTCTGTTGGTTTTGCCGTGGGTCTTTTTCTTCTTTGTGCGCTCGTCATCAAGCCGATCTTCCAAAAAATCGTCTCCATGAAGCCCAGAGTCCCTGATGCCATGGCAAGCGTGCAATTTGCATTTCTGTATCAGACGGTTTTCCTCGTGGGACTTGTCGCTGGGGCCGCCTATGCGGGCACGTCGAGCCTGTTCGCGGCTTACCTTGCGGGCGTTACAGTCACTTGGTTTGACGGTATGCTTATAGAGTCAAAGGTGCCACCTAGTGATACTTCGCCCGGGACATCCCCAACAGACTCCGTTTCTTCCAACAGCGGGGCCCAAAACAGCAGTGCTCGTCATCCCAGCAGGCAGTCCCAGACCTCGAATTCAACTACCGCAAATGCAGCACGACGCGACGGAACCGCAACAGGCGAGAAGGTCTACGAGAAATATTACAAACAGCCAGTGAAACGAATCCTCACGCCACTCTTCTTCGTCAGTATCTATCTCCTCCGACCTATATGCGCAGAAATGACTTAACGTGAAATAATAGGCATCCATCGGTTTCGCAATCCCCATCACCGAAATGTTTCAAGGAAGTGTAGTCTGGCGCGGCATCATCTACGCGCTTTTGATGGCGTTCGGGAAATCGATCACTGGTATCTGGCTTGTTCGGTTCTCTATCTCACCCCGTCGCCCCCTTTCAAGCCTCGCAAATGGATTTGGGTCCGGATTGAAACGGCCGTTCTCTCGCATCCGTTTCTTCTGCATACCCGCCCGAACCGACAATGATCACAACAACAAACAGCATACCCAAGCTGAACCCCCCGTGCAGTCCTCCAGAGAAGGCACCGTCACCGCCTCGAACAATCAAGCAGACACCCAGAGTAAAGATCGCGGGTCATCAGACATCCCAAAAAGCGCCACCAGTCACCCCGAACAATCACAACCCCACCCAACCACCACTCACCCACCCCCAACACACCACTTCCCCTTCCCCCCCAAACCAAAGTCCCTATATCCCCCCTCAATCCTCGGTCTGGCGATGATCGCACGAGGCGAAGTCGGGTATCTCATCGCGTCGCTCGCACAGAGCCAGGGCATGTTCGGAGTTGGGTCGTCTGGGGGAACGTCCGAGATCTATCTGGTTGTCATCTGGGCGATCTCTATCTGTACGCTTGTTGGGCCGATCTGTGTTGGCTTGCTTGTCAGGCGCGTGAAAAGGTTACAGGAGGTCCGGGGTGCGTCTGGCACAGATCCGTTGGGGGTGTGGGGCATTTGACGGATGGTTCTTTGTTGCCTTACTTCAAACCTGGATATAAGAACACTTGATCACTGTAAGTAACAAGGCATTACCTACCTACTGCAGTATCAACTTCGAGTCCGATAAAGCCAGGTATGAACACCTTAATCTTTTACACCGCTCCAACAAAGAAAAAAAGGAATCAGGATCAAATCAAGTCAGTTCACAATGTTGAATAAGTTTTATAAAGACTTTGCAGCCCATATATCGCCGAGCGCCGTTGATTGATGGAAGACGGGAGATTCTCTCGAATAAACAAGCAAGCAACATGTTACATCAGAAGACAGCCAACACAATGTCAAGGTAGATAGATGATGATAGGATAGCGGAAGTTCTGTCGATCCAGTCCCGCATTCAGACCATACATGTACGTGACAAGAGACAGCAAAAGGATATGATATGAGAGAAGAAAAGACAAGGCGAATGGGATGTATATAAATGTACAAGAGTTGTGTCCCACGGTAGCCAGTGTATTTGCAGGGGGGTAATAGACAGAACGGTATGCGGGGGAATGGATATAGGAGAGCTTCTGACAGATCCATATGTCAAAAAACCTAATAATACGTGACACGGTCACGATCAGAAACGTGTACATTGTGCGATTTGGATCAAGGGCCATGGGACGTACCAGTGCTCAGGAACAGGAAACACAAGGCAAACAGGAGAGATATTATAAATTACAGGCAAGTGCAGCATTCGACCTGCAGTTGAACGCACTGCTCATTCACTTGGAGATTAAACGAGTAGCAGGCGGGCGGGTTCAATCAGTGTGGCATGGAGCCAGATGAGTCGATCCGTGGAGGGTAATCTTGGTGATCGTGTACGGACAAAGGGAAACAACTTTCGTGAAGAGGCCGTAAACTGGTTGTTGCTACCATATCATCCTGCAACCCCCTCGGGGACGGATCCTTCCAGGAAAGGGGGGAAGCAAGAGTGGGACAGTGGAAGGTCCAAATCGCTTATGGCCACCAGCCCATCCGCTTGTAGCTCTCTACAATAGCACGCACACCCTCTGCATCGAAGCGCTCCCGGGTGGGCTTCCATCCTAGGGTGTTTTCGAACAAGGTCCCGTCGATGGACATGTCCGAGTCCTTGAGCACGTCCCGCTCCAGGAAAGGGCTGATGGGTCCGGGACGCTCGATTTTCTTCTGCTCGATCAGCTCCGCCCACACCTGCAGGCACTCCTCATTCATATCGTCAACAACATCGTCCATGTTCATCTTGGCGAACTGGGATGCCAGCGAGCCCAGGAAGGTGCACTTCAAGCCAAACACCGTCGACAGGGCCTCCGCCACGTGCTCCTGGCGGGTGTCACCGTGATCGACGACATTGAACGCGATCGGGACGGGGCCGGTGGCATTCGCCCGCCACTCGGCCGCCTTCCACAGTGCGCTGGCGGCATCCCCAACGTACAGGGTGTTGATCTTGAGATCCTTGGTGTAAAGAAGCTCCAGGTCCTTCTGCAGATCTAAGTGCACCCGGGCGAGGCAGATGCCCATGGCGAAGTACCCGGGGTCATACTCTCCGTACACATGCGGCAAACGTAGGAGGGTGTAGTTGAGCCCCGAGATCTTCTCCAATTCGGTACTGGCCTTCATCTTCCATTCAGCCAGCTTATGCCAGGGCTGAAGTTTGTCATCCTCCTTTCTGGCCGAGGAGCCCGGCTTGTAAACGTGGGCTGTGGAGCACTCGACGAAGGACCGGATGCCGCGGCGGGCCACCTCGCGGCCCAAGGCCACGGTGAGGGCGTAGCTGCGGAGCTCGTAGACATCGTCGGGCTGGGAATGCCTCGTCTCCCCACCACAGTTGATCACATAATCGAATTGTTCGCCATTGGCACGGTCGAAAATGCGCGGGAAATGTTCTGGGGACGACCGACCGGATCGAAATTAGCAAGGAGCACTCCCCCCCTCCGCAAAAGTGGGGCTGGGAAGGGACACTCACGTTCCCGACTTGCGTCCGCCTGGACGAACTTCTCCTTTGAACACGCCTCTTGAAACTCGGGGGCCAGCCACGCAAGCTGCGGAAGAACCTTGTCAACAAGTCGCACTTCCGAGGCCAAATTATTATCGTGGATATAGCGAGCCAGATGACGACCGATGAAACCTGCAGCGGAAGAAAGCCATCAGTTTCAAATTTCCAATGATCCTTTCAGCGTGGGGTATTCTTGTGGTGGGAAACATACCGAGTCCTCCGACAATCAGCACAGCGGGTTTCGTGTCACTCGCCATGGTTTGTAATTTGTGCACCAGGGATATGGTATGTAAAGGAGTGACAGTGACGGTCAAGTCACAGGATAGAGTTTCTTCAACGGGTGTCTTGTATCAGCTCAGTGTTCGTTCAGACACCCCGCACCCGATTTCGATTCAGTAGAGGAATGCGGGGAGGGCTAGAATAGGGGAGAAGAAGGAGGAGGGGATTGAAAAAGAAAAAAAGGAGAAGTTGAAGGGAAAACGATGAACAACTGGGAGGTACTTTTGTTGGCAGACCACCAGAGGTTCAGATTGTATGGGGAAGGGAGAAGAGGAGAGGATCGAGTTGAAGGATAGGAGGTAGAAGAGACGAAAGTACGAATGGAGGGAAGATAAGTACGTTGTCGGGGGGGAGGAAAGGAAGAGAGAGAGAGAGAGAGAGAAAGAGAGAGAGAGAGAAAGAGGGGAGATTGGAGAGGGGAGGAAGAAAGAAAGGAAGAAAGTAAACTAAGTCTCAACTACGGAGTCAAAGTAAACTCACATCATCTCTGAGAGAGTATCAATTCTCCTAGTATGATTATGATACCCCATCGTTATTATTCCTCTTCCTTCCACTAATTCTCTCTGGAGAAGTCGACCACTATCATCAGATTCATTTTAATCTGAGACACGACCCTCCATCTTGAGCCATCCATCGTGCTCCTTCTGACTCGGGAAATACATGATGTCCTGATGCCCCTGACGGATGATCGTGATCAAGATTCCGATTCACGATGGAGACTATCCCATGGTGGTAAGATCGAAAATAATCGCCTGAATCATTCCGCTTACTCTGAATAGTTCATTTTCATGAATTGATTTGTCTTTCGCCAGAGTCGTACATTTCTCTGGCTGATACCACTACCGGTAGTCCACACAAGCCTTGTCAAGTTGCCACTTCTCGAATATACTAAATAATATTTATTATTATTTCGACTATGATGATTATGTCCTTGATCATATTTCGAAATTGGATTCAATAGATGAAGCAGGACCAACAGAACACAAGAAAGAACCCCACTCGGACGAATTACAAACCCAACCCAACTTTGTCTACCGAACAAATTCCGCTAGTGCTGCGTCTGGAAATTTCGCCAGCTCCGGGGATGGAAGGTGATTCATCATGTCTTCCCCTGCCAAGCACGCGTTGTGGGACGTTCTCCGTTCTTCAGGGAGTCCAGGGACCATAGTCGTCCCGCTCCCAAGTGGGTATGTCCAACAGGAGCACTTGACCTCTTGTTGGAAATGGAGTCCATGTCGTACACAGATAGTTAGTTGTCGACTAATCCTGGTGGATTGATTCTGGTGACAAAGAGAGGGAAAGCGATTGATTACAAAAAAGACGTTCATGACCGAGGTTCCTTTTTTAAGATCCTTTTTCCGTTCGGACTATCGTTTCTTGTCATCAAGACGGTTTACCCCATCTTTAGATTCCTAACTAATGCCCTCTAAATACATGCATCCTACTATCCAGACTAACACCAGACGCTTGCAGGGATCAGAGTCAAAGCGCACATGGCACGGACAACATCCCCCAACCCTCGTCTTACTGAATCAATTCCAAGGCGTCTTCGGATCATCCCAGGGAATAACCAGCTGATCGACACAGGTCGGGATACCCGTCGTCGTACGAGTCAAGCATGGTTACATTGCCCCCCCCCCCCCAATCGTGGGGAATCCAGTTCGAGTTTCAACGCTTGCTTGTTTCTTGATGACCTCGCCCTGAGGTCACTATCGGAGTTAACGGGGGTCCAGTAGATCCACAAATGGAAGGCAAATTTGCGCCTCTTTTCGCCTCGTACGAAAAGGAGAGAGAGATGCAAACGGTGTTGCACAGTTTGGGGATTCGATTGTTCTTATTCTTTTTTTTCCCTTTTTTCCTTTTCCCTTTCCTCATTTCTATCATATTTCTATTCTTATTTTCTTTTCCTCGCCATCTTCCACCCGAATCGGCTCGCCCCGTAACCTACCAAGCACCGGAACGACCAAAAGTGGCATTACGATGCGGATCACCACTGGATAACTAACCATCGGGATCATTTCTACCTAGCCACAAACCCAACATCCATAACGGAAATTAATCATACTAAAACCCACTAGTTCCGTTCCTCTTTCGGGTCCATCGCTTCTAGTCTGCAGTCTACAGTAGTTTTCCTTTTGCCGCGATAGTCGAGGATCGACGGGGATTTTCAAGCAAGCTGACGTCAGACGTGGCCGGGAAATTCTCCGATATCTTTCTTGGCCCAGCGGCGATTTACATGCTGTACCATGGAACCCGGGGGGTTGCATCTATCTAGTATCTAATATCTAATATCTACCCACAACTCTCGATATAATCATACAATATGCATACGATAGAATTGAACTTCTTTTCGACCACTTTGGATGTTCTCTCTATCTAAGGTAGCTATCCTAATAGTGTAATAGAACGCGCAATAGCTACCTAGCCCCCTTTTCCTCTTCTTTTTTCTTTGGATACTTCCTCCTTTGTGCATTTTAGACCTTTTTTTTCTTTTCTTTTCTTTTCTTTTCTTTTCACTGATAAAACACACATCCCTAATATGGATTCAATCCCAATCCCAAAGTGGCTCTAACGTATCACAAGATATCAATGGACCCTAGTCACCAGCCGTCCGCCCCTCTAACCGAATCAGCGAAGCGAAGCAACACAACACAACACAACACAAAGCGGGACAAGATGAGGCGGATAAGCGAAAGATAGACAGCCATAGCCAAAAAGACCAAGCAGAACAAGGCACCCAATGACCCATCCAGACACAACCCACACAAATCACTCTCTCAAGAGAGAAAGAGAGAGGGAGAAAGAGACAAGAACCGAACTACTCCTCATCGGGCTCAACATGAAGCGTAACCCTAACAAAGAAACGGCCCGGAACCTCCGACTCAGCCTTCGCCTTCCAAGCCTCCACAATCTCACCCAGCAGACATTGGAAATCATTGTTTCTGTCCGGCCGCAGACGCATCTCCAGCCGTGACCAGGAGAACGAGACCGACGCGGCGAGAACGCGCGGCAGGGCGGCGAGAGAAGCACCGCTGTCCTCGTCATCGTCGTCGTCGTCATCGTCGTCGTTGTTATTGTTGTTCTCGGCGAGCAGCTGCGCGTCGGCGCCCCAGGTCTGCCAGGCGCGGATCTTGGTTTCGTTGACGAGGCGCTCGATGAAGGCTGCTGTGGTGGAGAAGCGCTGGAAGCGGACCCACACGGGGGCCATGGTCTGCTGGGCGGAGGTGCGCACTAGGAAGAAGGTCTGGTCGCCGAATCTGGTCTCCAGGGCGCTTGGGTGGAGGGGGTTGCGCATGTTTGCGGGGACGGGTGCGGGTGCGGGTGCGGGTGTAGTTAGCCTGATGGGAGATGAGGTCGGCTCGGGTTTGGCGGAGGGGGAGGGAAAGGGAGAGGTAGAGGCGGAGGAGGAGAACTTCTCGCGAAGGGTCTCGTTGTCTGAATCGTTGTTGTTGTTAGGCTTTTCGTCGGCCTGCTCGGATGCGAGGATGTCGCTGAAGCGGCGGATTCTGCGTGTTTTGGTAGGTCTCTTGGATTCTTCGGTGGAAGAAGACAGGGCTGGGGATTGAGGATGGGATGGATCTTCTTGCTCTTCGTCACTGGGGGAGAGGGAGAGGGCTCTCTTATATGACTCACGCTTTCTGGGTCTTCTAGGCTCGGTGGCGTCGTTTCTTCTGTTACCAGTGCCAGGAGTCTGCTCAAGTGACAGTGAAGTGGTATCACCAGAAAGACGTTGGGTGGTGGCGGTGGTGGTTGTAGTATCACCCCCGGACTGGAGTGATTGTCAGTGGGTCCCAGACGAGGGAAAGATCAGTTCAAGTCACTTACCTTCTGGATACGGTTGACCCAATGTTTGGCTTTCAGCTTGAGAAGCAACACAAGAACACGGACGAGCCTGGCAAACTAAAATCAGCTCATGGCTCAGCTCCCAGTGGCCCCCATAAACACGGCATGCATGGAAAGCAAAGCCAGAGCTAGAGCCCAACTGCCGATGGTAAAAAAGAAGAAAGATAGGAAGAAAAACTTACTCATCCTTTCTCTCAGGATAAACACACAAACCATCAGGACTCTGAAGCGGATCCTTAAGAAGATACTTCTCCCTGTTTCTCTCCGACCCCCAGTACTCCACGCCAAACTTCTCAGCAAACGACTCCGCGCACTTGACACACTCATCCTCGTCCTCAAAGATAGCAGACCACGACGAGCCCGCATGCGCGACATGCTGGCGGAGGCGCGTTATGAACTGGCTGTGGTACTCATTCTTCAGGTCGAGGAACGTGGTAAACTCCCGGTCACGCTTGGACAAGGCCAGGACGCCGTTGTCGAGGGCGATCTTCATCATGTTTGGCGACATCATGAATGATCTGCTTGCCCTTGTCTTGTCTCTTTGTTTAGTCTTATCTTTTAGGGTGAAATTTTGGATAGAAAACGAAGGCAAGAGTGTAACGCGTGATGGACGTGAAAGAGAGAGATGGGGCTGAAGAGGGCATATTTATATTTTTTGGGGAGCCAGCTTTCTGGGGGGAACGAGGTGTATTTTGTCTGATCGCATCGTTGGCTGGGCTGGCGATGCGAGCGTCACGTCGTCGATGGTGTGTCTCGGCGACGGCTGGAAAGGGAAGGGGATTATTAGGTGGGTTGCTCTGGGATCACAGGTGTTGTGATGGTTTGTGCTAGAGCAAACGGTAATGAAATGGGGTTAAATGGGATTGTGAGTACTCGAAAGAAGTAAATGAACAAAGAAATATTATATTGGGTGGTTGGAATGATAGAACCATGAGGTTGAGGAGCCTCCTTGGGTTCAAATAAAGACTATAAAAGACATATTGTAATCAGACAACTCGCAAGGAAGAAAGACAGGCTATATAAGAGATACTATGTGGGAATCGTGATTAGATATGTAGTTCGTTGTCATCGTTATAGTAGCAGAACGACAGATTGGCTAGCCCTATCCGCAAGGATCGGCAGAATAGTCCCCACCCTGTGTATGCATATCGTAACCCCATGGCAGCACTTAATTGTATCATTGAGGTTGCCTCATTCCGCCCCAAGTTGCTTCAGAGAGTTCCTCAGTTCCTTGATCGCTGTGTCCACATCGTCAAACGTCAGCGCCGACACCGCCCAGCGCGCGTGTTTCTGCGCCAAAGAGATGGCGTGGTCGTCCACTGTCTGCGAACTGCCGGGGCCCGAAGCCATCCCTGCCGATGCCGCTGGCGGAGTAGATATGGGAATGGATTGGTGGACGGGGCGGGATACGATGGGGACGTTCCCCGCCGGTGGCTGAGTAAAGGTAGGGGGTTGGGTGACGCTGGGGCCACTGGGGCCACTGGGTTGGGAGTAGAAAGAGCTTGGATCGTGGGGAGCGGCCGGGTTCGCGGGAGGGATTGGGGGCGGCGAAGGGAAAGATTGGAATGCATCTGGCGCCTTTGCGACGCCGGACGAGCCGATATCAGAAGGTGTATCTGGAAGGCTAAGTCCAGGCCCGGACGCAGCCGCAAATGTCGGTGCGGAGGGGAGTTCTAAAGGATCACCGCTTCCGGTGCCACCGACGTTCAATCCACCGGGCGTGGTCGGCTCCCGGTCATCCGGGGAATATTGGGCGCCCACGGAGGTGACCGGCGCGTGTGGAAGAGTTGGGGGTGACCGCGGAGCCTGCGCGGGTTCGTCGGGGGTCTCTTCAACCTTTGGCTGTTGTGATTCTGTTTCCTGCGATTGCGGATCCATGATCGCGCGCACCTCTGGGTCATCCTGCCTGTTCTCCAGGTCGTCATCTGCGTTCTCTGGCACATCGATAACCGGGTTTGTTGCGTTGGGGTCTTCTCCAGCTTTGATCGCCTTTGCAATCCTCAGCGCATGATATTTGGCGAACTTGGTCTTGGCGGAGACTTCAGGTTCCGGGGGGTTCCAGATCTGACATAGCTCGAAAAACGTCGCCGCTGCCTGGAATGTATCTGCTGTTTGTCTATATTTCATCAATTAGGCGCTGATCCGATTGAACCTCAAGGTAAGGCGCAACGAACTTGGTGACTTTGTTGGCTCGCATAGCAGCCTCCGCGCGACCAAAGATTTCTGTCGCAAATTGTTCCACGTAGGCACTTGCGGCCACTGCATCCATCACCGCATCATTATCTTGGTTGTCATTTTTGAACTTGAATCCCAAGGTAATTCATCCGTCAGCATCCATGTCCAAACCCCATGCGGGGTATTCGTATGGGCGCTGTTCGCCTAGCGTACCTGTTCCAGCTTGTCCACCAGATTCGTCGTGTAAAGCTTGACTTCGTCGTCGATCGAGTGGAGGCCTTTCTCGATAATTTGGTTGACGATATAGAAATTGCCTGTTGTTAAGATAGGGCATTGTCAGTCCGATCAGGTCTTGGAGGTGAGGTGTTACGACACTTACACCAATAGGCAATGACTGGTCTGGCGCTTTCAAGTTGCGCCGCCCTCAAGGCATAGCGCCCAATGTCTGCCGATTTCAAACTAGCAGGAACAATGCTCGCCATGGTCTAATTCGCTGGGGGTCAATATGGTTTTTGGGAGATGCAGGAGCTTGCTTTGTCGCTCGACGATGGGGTGGGGATGACGTTTGGAGCTAAAACTCCCCGAGAAGGTTGTCGGTGTCGGCGCCGAGCATTGCGGAGGGGCAAACGGCAACCCCTATGCTTTCTTGGCTGCTCCCACAGGGGAATTAACCAGACTTGATGGAGATATTACATGTTTGATCTATTTAATTCGTGCTAAATTATGTATAATATTCCTCATTTTTCCTGGGTCAGGTAGCTAAACTGATCCAGAATACTTCTCGAAGTTCAACAGAACACGAGCAGGACAAACAATCTACACTATGGATCCTCACTTCTAACTTTAGCGGGGGCAACTCTCGGGTTTCTCCAGACAAACCAAAATGAGAGAAATTGTATCAATTCGACATGGAGATGATTATTTTTTAATGTATCCAGATCCACTGTTGCTTCAATTTTTGAACATCCGATATAGGAGTCATGGCGCGAAATCACATCATTGTCTGTACCAAGTTTGATAGATAAGATATCAGTCCCTAGCATCTTCCCCAGAGAGTGTGCTAGGCCTGTCTCTAAACTTCAGTGAGAGTTAAGCACACTATGCATGGTGATGGTGTGAGAGAGAGAGAGAGAGAGAGAGAGAGAGAGAGAGAGGATACCAAAGTGACATTCCGGGGCTACTCCTCGGTCCAACAAATACATTAGCTTGGGTACTGAGGGTTAGGGATTAACAATATTTATAGACCTTTATAGTCACCACCACATGCACCCCCCACAACTGTCACAGTAAACAAACCAGAGCCTACCATACCCAGCCATCAACATGTTCTCTGTAAACTAGGCTTATAACCAGTTATAACCCTTCCGAACAACCCACCGTCCTCTTCGGGTGTTGATCCGAGAAATTCCCCCAGATCCCACTACGGGCCAACGGCAGCTGGATTGCATTAAGTATTCACTATTGCAGTGTAGGACCACTAGTAACAAAGTAACAAAATAGGCTGAAGGACAGAATGCCAATCGCAATTCTCTCAACATCATCACCCCTCGAAACCAAATTACCCTCTGGCTCCCGGTGGGTAATCGGTGGGGAGAGACGGGAATGGGAGGGGAGGAAATCCGCCAGATAACAATTGGACCTCGGTTCGTTTCGTCATGCGCGGATCAACCGCGGGTGCGTTTGGTGCAAAACTACCTTGACCGTGCTCCCTCCTAGCCGATTTGTTCGCCTTCATACCCTCCCTGGTCTTGATCTTCCTAATCTTGTGAATCCCTTGTCTGGTTGTTCCTACACCCTTTTCATACTCGACTGATAAAATACGTCGCCTGGATTTGCGGTCCCTTTTCTGACGTTGAACTCGCCCCCACTCGGAATTTACTTCGATCGCTCATAATTCCGCCGGCTAGTCTACTGGCCCGACCAGAAAAAGAGTCCGCCTCCCCCCTCCAGACACCGGGCATACAGCAGATACCGTCGCTCCTGCTGTATTGAAATATAGCGTTGAGTCGCCTTTTTCAGACGATACGAGCCGTTTGTCTTCAGAGTAAATCATGGCTGGTCAATCAAAGCCGACACTGTCCCCCTGGGGCAGCGCTATTGCGGGTTCAACCGGTGCGGTACTTGCCAATGCCATGGTCTACCCGCTTGATCTGTATGTCTCGGGCCTGGTCAACCCCCGACAGAAAATCGTATGAATTAATGTGATATGCAGGGTGAAAACCAAGCTTCAAGTTCAAGTCAAAAAAGCCGCCGACTCCGACGTTGAATCGAGCGACTCGGAACGCTACAAGTCGACCTGGGATGCTATTGTCAAGATCATGGACAAGGAGGGGGTCGAGGGTCTGTACTCTGGAATGGCCGGATCCCTGCTGGGTGTCGCATCCACCAACTTCGCCTACTTCTACTGGTACAGCGTCGTAAGAACGCTCTACACCTCCTCGACCAAGTCCTCGCAGAACCCTGGTACTGCGATCGAATTGAGCTTAGGAGCGATTTCGGGCGCCATCGCCCAGGTCTTCACCATCCCCGTCGCCGTCGTCACCACGAGACAACAGACTCAGCCCAAGGGCGACAAGAAGGGCATGATCGAGACCGGCAAGGAGGTGGTGCAGAGTGAGGATGGCTGGACCGGCCTGTGGAGAGGTCTCAAGGCCAGCTTGATCCTCGTGGTCAACCCGGCCATCACCTACGGTGCTTATCAGCGCTTCAAGGATGTCTTGTTCCCTGGGAGGAACAACCTCCGCCCCTGGGAAGCCTTCCGTACGTTATCGAACTCCCATTCTCGGATCATCTTGTATTAACGATTTCCACAGTTCTCGGTGCCCTCTCCAAGGCCATGGCCACGATCGCGACGCAGCCTCTGATCGTTGCCAAGGTCGGTCTCCAGTCGCGTCCCCCCCCGGAGCGCGAAGGAAAGCCTTTCAAGTCCTTCGGTGAGGTCATGCGCTTTATCGTCCAGAACGAGGGTCTGCTCTCTCTGTTCAAGGGCATTGGTCCCCAGATCCTGAAGGGTCTTCTTGTACAAGGACTTCTGATGATGACCAAGGAGAGGTATGTTTTTTTTTTTTTTTTTCCCCTGCAATGTCTAATGCATACGACGTATGCTAATATGTCCTAGGATGGAACTTATCTTCCTCGTCCTCTTCGGCTACCTCAAGAACGTCAAGGACCAGAAGCTCAAGAAGGCCGTTGGCACCGCTGCCTCGTCGGCGACGGCCAGCCTCCCCGTGACCATGAAATAGATTCCTTATATTCCCAACCTTACTGACCAATGACCGAGTGGTTTTTTTCTTTGTGTTCTTTCTTTCCGTTGTATAGGTTCTTGTTCATTATTCCATGGCGTGCGGGCTGTAGATTGTCAATTTCCTTCAGTTGTTTACAATCCTGTATATTTTGGCAGCTATGATGTATAGAAGGTGTCCTTGTGACATTGGAACAAAATAGACCTGCGCGATACAAATACAACTTCTGATATATGATCTATTTGGTAGTGAAATCATTCAAAATATATACAATAGATAGGACTGTGACAAATATACAATATCATCATAGAATACACATTCTAACTCCTTTGCTACATTTTCCATAAACACAAAAATCAGGAAATCCTGCTCCGTCCGACCGACCCCTACACATCAGCACCAAATACCGGTGTATTCCCTGTGGACCCAACTGCGGGAGTGGAGCGGAACTCCAACCGCCCGCCCGCCTTCCGCGGCAACAAACAACTCCCCAGACCTCCCCTCTCACCTTGTCCCTACCGCCGGAGAACCAGAGCAAGCGACCCTAGTCTAGACCTTTCATTACATCACTTCACTTCACTTCACAACGCGGCCCAGCGCCAAAGCATGAACCGCGATGCGATGGCCACCATGGGCGTCCAACACACCACAACAACAATCCGACAATGAGTCGCACAACGCGTCCTCCATATTCACTAGACTCTCCTCCTCCACACCATCTAATCAGAATGACGAAAACAAACACACCAACATCCTCGACTGGCGCGCCTTCACCGAGGCGCGAACCCTCCTCCCAACCGCCATCCTCACAACCGCCATCCTGAGCATCGTGCACTTCCGCCGCCGCTACCTCCGCCGCTTCCCAGACGCCATCAGCATCTCGCCCAAATACCTCCGCCAGCGCAGTCTCCTCGGCCAAGTGACGAGCGTAGGCGACGGGGACAATTTCCGCATCTTCCACACTCCCGGAGGCCGTCTCGCTGGCTGGGGCTGGTTACCGTGGAAGAAGGTGCCTACTGCGCGGAAGGAGTTACGGGATAATACAGTGCGTCATACCTACCTACCTACCTACCTCCTTATCCCCCCTCAAGCCCATCCAAATACGAAAAGTAACCAGTTGACTAACCCCAATATCTGCAAAGATCCACGTCCGCCTAGCCGGAATCGACGCCCCGGAGCTCCCCCACTTCGGCCGCCCAGAGCAGCCCTTCGCGCGCGAAGCCCACACCTGGCTAACATCGTACCTCATGAACCGGCGCGTGCGCGTCTACATCCACCGGCACGACCAGTACCAGCGGGCGGTGGGCAGCGTGTGCGTTCGGCGCGCGCTGGACTTCCCTATTCCGTTTCGGCGGCGCGACGTGTCGTACGAGATGCTCAAGCGCGGGCTGGCTACTGTGTACGAGGCGAAGGTCGGGGCTGAGTTTGGGGGCGAGGAGATGGAGCGCAAGTATCGGAAGGCTGAGTGGTGGGCCAAGTTGCGGGGGGTGGGCATGTGGCATGGGCTGGGGGGGGATAAGAAGTTGGAGAGTCCGAGGGAGTATAAGACTAGGATGGGGGCGTTGGAGGCTGGTGGGAACGGGAATGGGGGGAAGAAGTAGAGATGGTTTATGTTTGGTGGGTGGTGGTTCATGAGGACGATCTTGACGAGTGAATGAATGGTTGATATCCCGTTATGATATTACTTTTTATTTGGATATTTTTACTTCTGGATCTTGTTTCCCTCTGAAATACAAGTGACACTGTCAACTCATCCGAGTCATGGTATATTCTAGCGAACAGGACCATAATGATATAAATATAATACACAACGAAATCCCATCTATGGTATCCCAAAGAAAAAAAAAAAAACAGAAAGAAAAACAACAAGGAAAAGAAAGGCAAAGAAAAAAAAAACATCACAGAGAAACATCAACAAAACCGCCTCCCAATCTCCTCAAACAACTGCGGGCTAATTTCATCGCTCGAATTGCCCTCCACCCGCCACAAACACCCCCTCCGCTTATAATGATCCAGCAACGCCCTGCTCGTCTCCTCAAACTTCCACAACCGCTGCGTCCACGTCTCAAGCGAATCATCCTCCCTCTGCGTCAGCGGCTCCCCAGTGACATCGTCCTTGCCCGGGACCTTAGGCGCATTAAAGCTGGTATTATAGACCCGTCCGGATGGCTCGTGGACCCAGCGCGATGCGATGCGCGAGAGGATCACCGACGGCGGCGTGACGAGGTGCACGACGAAGTTGACTGGAACGAGCGCGTCGAGACTGTTTGCCTGGGTGGCTGTGCGGGGGAATCCGTCGAGGATGAATGATGCCGCGGAGGAGACGGACGGCGATGGACCCCCCGTGAGCCAGCCCTTGTGTTTGAATTCGTTGGAGATGAGTTCGAGGATCATGGAGTCGGGGACGAGGTTGCCTGCTTGCATGGCGGCTTCGGCTTTGAGGCCTGTATTTTGGTCAAGAACGTGTTAGTGAGACAAGCGCATGGGTGTATTGCGTTGCGCGCGTGCGCTCGCATTGCGATAGTCGGGGGGAACGTACCGAGCGGTGTCTTGTTGCGAACATTCTCTCGTAACAGGTCGCCTGAACTTATGGAAGCCAGCTCCGGGAAGCGGGTTAGGAGGCGCTCGGTCTGGGTGCCCTTGCCGACGCCGGGAGCGCCGACGAGGATGATGCGGGCTGCTTTCTTGAGCTGCCTTGACGCGATTGACATGTTGAACCTCTATGGTGGTATTGAGCGGGTTGATCTTGTAAATGTAGTGTTCAATCCGCGCAAGGCGCACACGGCTGGAGAGTGGCTCAGTGGGGGGGTTGTTTTGTTGGGACCGGCGAGATATCTGCGACGGGAAGGTACGTTTATTGCGGGCGTTATTGGGTATACATCCTGGACTGGCCGGGGGCTCAATTCGGGGAACCGATTTACTGACGACGCGGAAGCGACATTCTTATTAGGGGGACCAGGCAAGGTGGGGAGGGGAGGGTTGTAAAATAATCAACTGCTCAGGTGATGTGTTGAGGGTCTTGGAGGAGTTACGAGGCCGGGGAAAGCCCGCGATGGATTCCGTGGGGATGGCGCCGAACCGTGGACGGAGCTGATGTTTTCCCCCTTAGGTAGTCGGTGAGCGGAGTACACTTTACTTGAGAATACGGTATGTTTTTGATGTATTGAACCGTCTACACTGATATTAGGGACATTTCAAGCACATGAATTGCGCGCCAGAGAGAGAGTATCAAATGGCAAGGTTTCACATGTGAGGACAACCCCTCTGCTCCGGAATTACCCATATATGGCCCGTGACACTCGACTATCATTCTGTAAATCTGAAATGATGTTATTTCGACTAAACTTCCTCGGTTAATTTCCCGGCCGCAGAATCGGTCTGGATAAGTTGGTTCATTATCGGCTTAGTAATATATTGCTATAATGAATCATGTGACCGCGCCGCGTTTTCGACGCGTGGATCGCGTTTCTGTCACGAAAGCGGATAAGGATTGATGGATCTTCGATTCAACAAGACCGCCAATTCGTGCAACAATCTGGTTAATGCAACATGATACGACAAGATTTTCATAGAGTTGACCCCAAGCGGAGGGCCAACTTGGACCCAAGAAAGAAGCAGTTCGCATCTTCGGCGTTCAAGCAGCAGGACTACCCGCATCGCTTGAATTTCTACGATGTCCCACCGACGGCCGAGATCACTCTGGAACAGTTCGAGCAGTGGGCGATTGACAGACTGAAGAGTGCGCATGGGGAGAACCCTCAATAATCTGGTCGTAAACTAACTTTGATGTCTAGTTCTGGCTGAAATCGAAGCATGTTCCTATCGAAACAAGACCGCCGCCGAGACAGCAACCCACATCACCCCTCTCCTGCAAAAGTTCCTCCCTCTCTCCTCCAACACTTCGTCCTCGTCCGGCGCAGCAGATGCGAGACTTTCAAATGAGCGCCAGAAAGACCACTACTCGCACTTCATCCTTCGGTTGGCGTTTTCCGCGACCGAAGACCTGCGCCGTCGTTTCGTGCGCGCGGAGACGATGCTCTTCCGGTTCCGATTCCAACAGGATGACTCGAAGGAGAAACGCGCCTTTATAGAGAGCCTCAATCTAGAATGGGAACCCGTTGGTGATGAAGAGAAACGCAAGATGGCTGAAAATCTGGTGAGCGCGACTCTTGGTCTACGCCGCGTTGACGACGAGACGTGGTACAAAGTGGATTGGGAAAAGGTGCCGGAGTTGGTTGAGAGACGGTCGGTTTTTGTGGCTAGGGGCAAGGCCTACGTGCCTGGCAGAGAACAATTGAGCATGATCATTGCTGAGTTCACCGCTCGTCTAGAGCGCGCTTTGGAGGTTTGTAGCAGCCATACTCTGATGGTTGGTTCGAGACCGCTGACAGTATCCCTAGCTGACGAGTCGTGCCCTCCCCCGATTGGACGAAGACGACCGACTGACTCCGATCCTGAATCACCTGTCGAAGAACTTCGGAAGTGCCGAGTCGGTGTATTCCGAAAGTGAAGGCGTCGTGGATGGTGCCCCCATCACGGCGAGCAACATCGACCGGCTTTCAAACCATTTCCCCCTCTGCATGCGCAGTCTGCATATGAACCTGCGAAAGAACAACCACTTGAAACACTTTGGTCGACTCCAGTATACCCTATTCTTGAAGGGCATCGGCCTCTCCCTCGAAGAGTGTATTCTCTTCTGGCGCCAGTCTTTCAAGGGGTTTACGGATGACGAGTTCAACTCCAGATACAAGTACAACATCCGCCACGCCTATGGTGATGTGGGCGGTGATGTCAATCGCCGTGGTCGTGGATACCTCCCTTACTCGTGTCAGAAGATCCTCGGCGATTCAAATACCGGCGCCGGGCAGACTCACGGCTGTCCCTACCGACACTACTCGGTCGACAATCTCATCGGCCTCCTTCAGTCGACCGGTGTCCATGACAAAGAAGTGCTACGAGGGGTTCGGGAGGATGTCGACAGAACCAGGTATCATATTGCCTGTAATCGGGTTTTTGAATGGGCGCACAAGACCGAGATCAAGAAGGTGAAGGAGGACGGGTCCTGGAACCAGACAGACCTCGACACCATCGTCCACCCGAACACATATTTCAAGCGCAGTTACCTGCTCAAACAAGTGGGCAAAGCTCCTCAGAATGCTTGAGTCAAGCGTCAACTTCACGAAGCTACGTCATTTGGGGGTTCTTTTCTTCTCTTTTCTTGCTTTCTACCTTCAATTTTCATCGTTCTGTGGGTTACTTCAATGCAGCGTTAATACACACGCTATGATTACGCGATCCAATTCTAACAGCATCCGTACAAATTTAATCTGGTTTTCCTTATTACAGGTACTAAGTAGCCATGGAGCTTATATAAATTTGTTCATCATCTAAGTGTGATAAGAGTAATAGTAATGTGACCACAGCTGATTCCCAATTTATCTTTAAGGTACAAAACGACCTCTCAAAGCCAGGTGCCCAGCAACGGGTCGAGTAACTCTTCGCTCGACCACCGGACAATTTTCGTCATCAAAAACGACGAAGTTGTCAAGTATAATGGAAGTCGGCGAGTAATTGTATGAAGAAAGAAGAAAAAAAAGTGCGGAAAGATGAGAACGGGATTTAAATAGTACTAGCGTGACCGTACGGGCGGGCGCAGTGACCAGAGATGCTGCAACCTGGCCTTATGTCAACAAGCAACAGACTCACAACAACATCCACTCCGATCCCCCGCATGAGTCTCCGGACATTAGCTGTTGGCGTTGCCTATATCGAGACCGGATTATGATACACGTGTTTCTCGAAGCTTTAGTTGTTGGAGTTTAAAGAATCATTTCTGAATCTTAACCCCCCCCCACCCCTTTTCCCTCTAGACGTCCCCTCACACATCACCAAGTCTAGTCGAGTCCACCGTCCCGTCCCTACCCAACCATCATGGACTACGACGCTTTGAAGGACCAATGGAGCGACATCGAGGATCGAGATGGCATCAGACTCAGCTGGAACACGTTTCCTAGCACTCGCATGGTTGGTTTCGATATCGCCGTGTCCTCGCGCGCTGTCTGCTAAATTCAGGAACAGGAAGCGTCCCGCCTTGTCGTCCCCATTGGTGCGGTCTACACTCCCCTCAAGGAGAAGCCGGACGCCCCGTTGCTTCAATATGAACCGGTGACCTGTAAACCACCATGCCGGGCTGTCCTGAACCCATATGCGTAAGATTCGATGCCATCGTCTGGCGAGAAGTGCGACTAACCCCCTTGGTAGCAACGTGGACATTCGAGCGCGGATCTGGATCTGTCCTTTCTGTCTGATGCGCAACCCTCTACCTCCTCACTACAAGGACATCACCGAGAGCACGATACCCCCGGAGCTACACCCCATGAGTTCGACGATCGAGTACCAATTGGCCCGTCCCGCTCCCGCCCCTCCGATCTTTGTTTATGTCGTGGATACCTGCCAGGAGGAGGACAGCCTGAAGGCGCTGAAGGACTCCCTTGTCATGAGCTTGTCTCTGCTGCCGGCAAATGCGTTGGTTGGGCTGATCACGTTTGGCACAATGGTAGGAAGGCCTATCCCTTGAGTCGTGGTACAATATGGTGGTCGTCGGATGTGTTAACTCATCCTTCAATCTAGGCACAAGTACATGAGCTTGGTTACACCGAATGTGGCAAATCGTACGTGTTCCGGGGCAGCAAGGAATATGCCGCGAAGCAGGTCCAGGAGATGCTTGGTCTGCTCTCCGCGGGGTTGCGACCCAACATGCCGAACATGCCCGCGCGCCCGCCCATGGGTGCCGCCGCTCGATTCCTCCTTCCCGTCCAGCAAGCCGAATTCCAAATCACCAACGTGCTCGAGCAGATGCAGCGCGATCCGTGGCCCGTTGCCAACGACAAGCGCCCTCTCCGGTGTACTGGCGTTGCCCTGAGCGTTGCTGTTGGGTTGCTTGAGACCTCTTTCCAGAATGCCGGCGCGCGCATCATGGTTTTCACGAGCGGTGCGGCTACCGAAGGCCCGGGCCATGTTGTTGGACCGGAGCTGAAGGAGCCGATCCGATCTCACCATGACATCGATCGTGATAACATCAAGTACTACAAGAAGGCCGTCAAGGTAAGCTCCATTCGGCCCTGCGGGTTACACCGCCGTGCTAACAGAGTAGTTCTACGATGCCATGGCCAAGCGAGCTGCCAACAACGGCCATATCGTCGACATCTTCGCCGGCTGTCTCGACCAAGTTGGTCTGCTGGAGATGAAGAATCTCTCCAACTACACCGGCGGCAACATGCTTCTCACCGATAGCTTCACATCCTCACAGTTCAAGCAGTCTTTTGTCCGGGTGTTTGACAAGGATGTGAACGATAATTTGTTAATGGGCTTCAATGCCTCTCTGGAAGTGCTTACCACCAAGGAGCTTAAGGTCACTGGGCTTATCGGCCACGCAGTATCCCTGAACAAGAAGTCCAGCTCCGTGGGAGAGACGGAGTGCGGTATTGGGAATACTTGCGCATGGAAGATGTGCGCCATTGACCCCGCGGCGAGCTACGGTGTCTATTTCGAAATTGCGAACCAAGGCGGACCCGCTGCCGTGCAGCCCGGGCCCCAGAGAGGAATGATGCAGTTCTTGACATACTACCAGCATTCGTCTGGGAACTTCCACCTCCGAGTCACGACTGTCGCGCGGCCGCTTAGCGGGCCGGCTGGTGATCCTACTCTGGCGCAGTCTTTCGACCAGGAAGCTGCTGCGGTGCTGATGGCGCGCATTGCGGTCTTCAAGGCTGAGGTTGACGATGGCCCTGATGTCCTCAGATGGGTCGACCGTATGCTCATTAGGCTTTGCTCTCGCTTTGCCGACTACCGGAAGGACGATCCCACTTCGTTCCGCTTGGAGAAGAACTTCACCCTCTATCCCCAGTTCATGTTCCATCTCCGCCGAAGTCAGTTCCTGCAGGTGTTCAACAACTCCCCTGACGAGACGGCCTTCTACCGACACGTCCTCAACCACGAAGATGTTGGCGATTCACTCATCATGATTCAACCGACTCTGGATTCGTACTCTCTGAATCAGGAGGGCGCCCAGCCGGTTCTACTCGACTCGGCTTCTATCCAGCCCGACCATATCCTTCTACTGGATACCTTCTTCCACATCCTCATCTTCAACGGAGAGACAATTGCGGAATGGAGAAAGGCCGGGTATCATGAACAGGAGGGATACGAGAACTTGAAGGCTCTGCTGGAGCTGCCCAAGGAAGATGCAAGGGTATGTTATCAAATGCTCACAACTACACAGGCATGCAGCTGATTACTCTCTACCACAGGAACTGATTGCGGATCGATTCCCGCTACCCCGTTTCATTGTCTGCGATGCTGGCGGATCTCAAGCACGTTTCCTTCTGTCCAAGCTGAACCCGTCCACCACACACACGACCGGTGGTTACGGAGGCGGCGTGACGTCGCAGACAATCTTCACTGATGATGTTTCTTTGCAAACATTCATGGATCATCTGATGAAGTAGGTTTTCCCTCTATTTTAAGGATCCAAGGACCAGACTAACCCGCTCTAGACTTGCTGTCTCTGGAACTAGCTAGGTCTGACGATGGGACGGCCATGACGGGAGCAAGAAACGGTTTTAGGTCGGTCTTCGGGTCGATTGTATCTTTAGCGGTGGTTTTTGATTTTACCCTTTTCCTTTTGCTAGGTCGATATATAGCAACCATTTAGATTCAATGAATTGAGAAATAATCGCAACACATGCATTAAGTAACCTGTATGCGGGCTTACATGGGATACGCTTATGTAAGAGACTATGTCAGTCACGTGAGAAGCTAGCGGGTTAAACCCTAGCACCCTAGTCCTGATAGGGCCCCTCGCTTCCACTAGTGCGAGCTGTGGACAAGCAAAACCTCTTCCGGGCGCGAACTTTTCGATTTCTTCTTTCGTACCAACCACCAACGACCAATTCAAGGACGATTGACGACCTTTCGCACTCGCCATGCGTAAGTATCATCTCCTTGATTTATCTATGGCTGGCGACTAATGAAACACCCGTTGGGCAGCTCCCAAGTTCGATCCCAATGAGGTGAAGATCATGTAAGTTTTCTATCATCAGTCGCAGGGATTGAAAAGCATCACGAGGCTAATTGTTCATAGTCACCTGCGAGTGACTGGTGGTGAGGTCGGAGCCCAGTCTGCTCTGGCTCCCAAGATTGGTCCTCTCGGTCTGTCTCCCAAGAAGATTGGTGAAGACATCGCCAAGAACACCGGTGACTGGGTATGTTCCATTCTTTGTGGTATCTGAACAGGCAGCATCGGGATAGTTCTAACGTGGTTTGGTGCATTACAGAAAGGTCTCCGTGTGACGGTCCGTCTTACCATCCAGAACCGTCAGGCCGCCGTCTCCGTCGTGCCCTCGGCCTCTTCTCTGGTCATCAAGGCCCTCAAGGAGCCTCCCCGTGACCGCAAGAAGGAGAAGAACATCAAGCACAGCAAGTCGATCCCTCTCGAGGAGATCTTCGACATTGCCCGCCAGATGCGCCACCGCTCCCTGGCCAAGGAGCTCAAGGGTACCGTCCTTGAGATGCTGGGTACTGCTTTCTCCGTCGGTTGCCAGATCGACGGTCGCAGCCCCAAGGATGTCTCCGATGACATCAAGGCTGGCGAGATCGATGGTGAGTTTTCAAACCCACTCAATATATGAGATGATGTTAACGATGTCTAGTTCCCTCGGAATAAATTATGATCCGGATTTTCAAGATGGTCGTCAATCTGTATTGGCATGCTAGTTAACGAAAATACGATCATGATCTTGCCCGAAGTGTTTTACTTTTACGAGTTATGACATTTAAGATTCCCATTGGTCTAATCGACCAACCTCTGTTCACTTTCCTTCCTCTCTTTTTCCTTTTGTCTTTGCTTTCCAGTTTACCTTCCAATCTCCATGGACTTTATGGTTTACTCGCCCTCGGTACGAGCCAGATCATATACATCCATCCCCTCCAACCTTTGCAACACTCTGGCCCTTACCGTCCTTTCCCGCCTTCGGGCCTGGATTGGAACCTTTTACCACGTGGTATAGGCTTATTTTGCGCAAAGGAGATCAACGACCCGCTACTCACCGCGGTATCTTAAAAGGGGGAGCCTCGTGCTCTTCCTCGGTGGATACAGTGGTCCATTTTACGGTCTACAAACCTGACAAGAAAGTATCTTTTGTTTTCTTGTCCCCCCATGGCACGTGTTATCTACCGGCCATGGGATGGGGGTGTCCCCACCCCCGCGTAGCTTAGTTAGTCGTAGAAGCAATCAAACAATCATTCAATCAATTTCCGAGACTCAAATCCATGTTCCATGTTGATCCGCGATCGTCCATTTGATATTAACCCGTAGTACTACCCACTTCAGGAATAGGTAAACCATCCGAACGGCCCAGTATTAGTAGCCACCTTCGAAACCGAACCCTGTCGAAGATGAAACGCGCCACGTCTTGGTACGTTTGACACTGCCGATAGAACGATCGATGGATGGAGGGATAGATAGAAACATGGATGGACGTACAAAACCGCCCGTCCAACAGAGCAATAGGCGAGTAGACGTGATGAAAAAACTCCGACGCAGGCGCCGAGAGATCGAACCGTGGTAGGTATACGATGTAGTGTTTCACACGGCAAAGGGCACTACTACACCACACTACACTACACTACACTACGTTGTGCAGCCTAGGTACTGTATAACTAGACCTAGGTACATAAAAACAGTAGGTAGGTCTAGTAGATAGTTAGTAAGTACGATGTAGGCATAACTCCCTTGGTTACCGCACATCGCTGGTCAAGTACCCTGCAAGCGAGAGCGCGAGGATGGATCATTCGAAGGAAGGAAGGAAATAGATGAACGAACGACAGTAGGTAGGTATTGATTGGTGTGATGAGGGGCCAGTGCGGGCGCCGGTGCACACCGAGATTGTTAGTTAGTACCTACCTATTGATTTTTTGACAGTGCGTGAGGAGAGGTGAGGCGGTACGAAGCGAGGCGAATCGCTTTGGGAGATTGGTGGTGCAGAAGGGCTGGGGGGGG